ATTCCTGCTGCCTGTAAAAGATGTGAATTGAGGAACTCTAAGGCATGAGACACAAAGACCTTGCTGACAAGGGAAAGCTTTACCTGGTCCCCCAGGTGTTCCTGTCCTGGCTGATCCCAGCAGAGCCAGGGATGTGCCTGATTTCAAGGATGAGTGGATTAGGGGACTGTTCAGCCCTGTCTGGCTTGGCACAAGGTCCTAAGTTTAAAGGACATCAATGGGTGATGCCCCAGCCTGTGCTGACAAGGCCACAGCCACCACATCCTACAGCACAGAGCAGGATTTTAAACTCATTTACTGCCCCACAGATTTCAGCCTCAGAGCCTGACAATGATTAGCCAAACCTGAGCCATTTGGAGGTGTGATCTGTGATTTTTGCCTTCTCCTTAGTTTCCCATGGCTGACTCTTGGCATACAGCAGATTTTTGGCCTCCAGACAAGCAGCAGGGACACAAACCTGTTTTTTCCATTTAGCCTTTTAAGTCGGTAGGGTGGGAAGGGGGTGGGTTTTTCGTGAATACCCTAAATTAAAGAGACTCCAGCCTGACTGTGAAATTAATAGAGCTATCAAAAACCTCTCTGTCATTATACAGCAATTGTTAATTATTTACAAGCAAACTTCTGCAAGAGCAGTATTGTAGCTGTCAGCATTGTCGTTATTAAAGTTAAAAGTGCTTTGTCTGGGTGGAAGATAACATGACTCATTTTGGTGAAAGGCAATGAATATGGAATATTCTGTTTCTCTTCACCAGTTAGAGGGAGAACAATGGCGTGTCTCTTTCCTAACAAGATGTTTGTTTTTAAGAGTCTAACAAAATAAATATTTTCAGGGCTTTCCTTACAAAGGGTGTAATTCATTGCAGCTACAATAATCAAAGTTAAAAGCTAAAACCAGTTTATTTTTTTTTTTCTAGGGTGGGAAAAACTATTTTCATCAAGCCAATTCTCCTTTTTCAGCTGGTGAAAAACGTGTGTGAGTCTTTTTATTATCCAAATATCTTGGTTTGTCTTATTATTACAACAGAGGCTTTAAAGCCCATCCAGTGCCACCCCTGCCATGGGCAGGGACACCTCCCACTATCCCAGGTTGCTCCAAGCCCCATCCATCCTGGCCCTGGACACTTCCAGGGCTGGGGAATCCACAACCTCTCTGGGCAGTTTTGGTTGCTAATAAAGTCAAAAGGAGACTTTCAGTGAGCAAAGGAATCAACCTCTTAATTCCTGCTCTGTGCTTACTCGAGCAGTTATTGGATGCAGAGGTAAAATCCAAGCCTCTCATTTCTGCTCTCCTAGATCGTGCTGCCCTTTGGAATTTATTATTTTAAAATCTCTTGTTCAGAAAAGGATTTTTGGAGTGAGAATATTTATGTTCTACCATTATCTCCATTTTTGTACAGTCTCATAAGGGAAGGAGAGGAGCCAGCTGTACTTACTAAGTTAAAGGCAAGCTGTAGAGAACACCCAATTGCATTTTGCTTAAAGAACAACAGCAAGGACTTAACATCATTAAAAGAATGTGTTCACCCCCCATTAATTTTGTATTTGATTTAGAGGCTGTGGTGCAACAAACAGGAGCAAAAGAGCTATTTGGAGGAATTGCCATCCAAGCTGAGGCCTCGTGTGTCTGCCTGCGCATTCCGTGGAGCAGATCTCCTAAACCTGTGTGGTTTATAAGCTCTTTTAATATTAAAAAAAGCCCTAACCAGAATGTTACAAACATTTCTCCTCATTATCTCTGGGCAAACAGCCTTTCCTTTCTCCCAGCAGTTGGCTGAGAGTGCCTGACCTTCCGCTTGGCCGTTGTGAGTTGGTTTGTTTGGTATTTCTTTGGCTGTTCTTAGAAAAATGTCAGTGCTGGGGCACTCCCAGGGTGGCTTTGCTCCTGTGCCCTCCCAGGACAGGACCCGTTGGGATGTAGGGGAGGTCTGAGTTAAGGCTGACTTGTTGGGAAGCTGGGATTTGTTTATCAGAGGGAAGTTGAGGGGAGAAGCATCCAGGCACGGTTCACGTGGCAGGGGAGCACAGTCAGGTGTGTGCAGAGTGCCATGGAGTGACTTAGAAGTCATCTCTGCACTGCAGCTGCCAAGCTTTGGAGGTGGACACGTCCTGGGCACTGCTCCCACCTGGGCAGCTCCACCTGGGCAGGGCTGGCTGAAGGCCTGGGAGTGTCAGGTGAAAGGATGCGTTCCCTCCAGTGTCCCGATGCTTCCTGACTTTTCTTTTGGCTCCTCTTCCTCCACAGACACCGACAGGGTCCAGCCTTCCCCCCTCCCCACCTCTGGGAAGAGGCCCCATAAGTAATATTAACTTCTGCAATTTCCTTGTTACTCTTAAGCAGGTTATTAATTAACTGAATGTAACCACTGGCTGTTGATAAATCCTTTTAACTAATTCAAATTCCATACCGAGCTGGGAGCATTTTCACTGGAGCTGCTGCTGGAGTGGAGCTGGGTGAGGAATTAGTCCTGAGCTGTTTTGGAGTGCCGGAGTCGGGGGGAAAGGGAGAGGAGATATTTGTTTGCTTGATTCCACATGACAACTCCGGGGTAACTGAATAGACTGTACGGTTGGGTTGACAGGGCTGTGCCAGCAGCCTCACATTCCAGAGGCAGGGGGATGGAAGGGGCACTGACAACTGCAGTGGATCCGATCCGGATTTCTCTAAAGAGCGACAATTTGCCTTCAATTATTAATGTTTTTCGGGGGTTTCTCTTCTGAGAGGTACGAACAACTGAATGTGTGCTCACGTAACGTTTGCAAGGATGAATAAATTAGTGCAGGGGAAGAAGCTGAGCGGCAGATCCAGGTATTAAATAATGGAAGAGGGTTTTGAGGAAACAGAGTCATTAACAGTGGGACTGTTGCTGGTTTTTCTCAGAGTGCAGAGCTGTGGTTGTTGGATGTGGAAATGTATTAGTGCTGTTGGAAGTGCCACGGAAAGGAAGGCAGTGCCTGTGTGTGTGTGTGTGACAGTTGGACAGGAACCTGCAGCGCTCCTGGAGCATCCTGGGGCTCCCATGGGTTTCCTTTCCCTGCCCTCGCTCAGGGGGCACTTTGTCCCCTCTGCTGTACAACTGATGTCTTACTCTGGGGGACTTTGACACTCTGGTCCCATTGAATCGTGAGCAGGAGGGACACTGGAGTGGATTCCCAGGTACCTGGGAGGAACTTCGGGATGTTCAATGATTATTCAGTGGCTGCTGTTTCAGGAGACTTTGAGGTTCAGTGGTTGTGCATTTATTTATTTATTGCTCTGGTCCAATTTTCACTGCCAGTGGCATTTTTATGACAGGGTTCCTGTATTCTGACCCTACCCTGTGGTCCCTCACGCTCTGCCTCCCTCAGCCTTTAGACAGAAATACATATTATTCCCTTTGTAAAATGCTGTAAGGAGTTCTTTTTCTGTAACATCTCTGCAGTCTTGAAAATATGTCACAGATATAAAAGCCTGTTAAGCAACACTTAAAACTGAGCAGCTTTTGACAGCACCACCGTGACAGGGAGTGAATTGGTGGTTGTTATGAAGCAATTTATTCCATCTTGGCAGTGTGCTGTTTAGTTTAGTGAAATATTTTAATATCATTAAGGCATTTAGGCATGGAACTCTTACAAATCTGTCCTCCTGATGTTAAAAAATCCTAAGTCTTATGAAGTGTTATGTGTAGCACTGGTGTGTGCTGGAACAGCAGGCAAACAGAAACCTTTGGGATTCCTTATGTGCTGAAAACTATAGGAAGCTGTCCTGGCAGCACATAAATTGTCAAGTAGATATTTACAAAAAAAAAATCGATCCAGTTATCTGTTTGCAAAATTAGCAGCTGGGAAGTTCCTAAGTCCCTTCTTCCCCCTCTGCATCAGTGGGTTCTGCATGGATTGTGCAGCCAAAATTGCCTCAGAGGTGTGAAATCTGCGTCACTTCAAGCAGCTCCTGCCCCCCAAAACCTGCAGGATAAGGCAGTTTATCACAGGGGGAGTTATTCACCCACCTGAAGGGCACTGAACTCACTCCAGACTGTGGTGGTGGCACAGCCCTGGAACTCTGGAGGGAGGGATGATCCCAAAAGGCTGTGCAGTTCCTCTGATTGCTTTGCAGTTCCTCCACGAGGACTCTGCTTCCCTGTGTGCAAGAGCTGGATGTTGAGAGCAGGTCAGCCCAGAGCTCCAGGACTGAGCAAGGTGTTTCATTAACAAACCCCGTTTTTAACCCCCAGCCTAATTAGTAAACTTCATAATTTCTTGTGTCATCGTCTGGTCCAGCTCAGCATCCGTGGGATTTCAAGACATGAAGTGTGGAAACCTGTCATGACAGAAAAAAAACCAGAGAGGCTTGTAGGAAACAATGGTTGTCTTGTGGGAAGAGTTTAAATATATGCAGCTGATCCCATGGGAACTGCTGCAGTCTGTTCACCCTGTGTGAAAATGATGCTCTTTCAATATAATCTTTAATCCTTTTCTTTCACTGAAAAATGTGAGGACTTTATTTCCAAGTTTTGGAAGAATGCTCTATTTTAGTGAGTAAATGCTTTTCAAGAACACTAATAATTAGATTTATTTTTATAACGTGGAGGGGAAAGGTTCTCTGAAATATCTGTAATATTTTGGCCATAAATTGCATTTGTGAATGTTCTTGGGAAATATATCCAGGCCATTTCTTTTCCCCCTGGGTGGGTGTAGGGGAGGAGGGGAAGGAAGTATCCAACAGTCTTGATGATATTAAAACTTCTGTAACTGTTTGAGACAGAAATTCCACAGGACAGATTTTTGCTGTGAGATGGGAAGGGAGAATTTCAAGAGAAGGGAATTCTACCTCAAATTCCAAGCTTTCTTCGGAGAGGATTCTAATCTTCCTCCTATTCATGGAAAAGGAAAATAAAATGAAATGTGCAGTTGTTGCAGAGATTCCTCCCCACCCTCTGGGAGGATGGGAATCCAAACAAAAGGGCAAAGAGTCACTCATGTTCTTTTTCTTCTGCTTTCCTGTAGGATCTTTCCTCCAAGGCATGCCAAGCCCTTCCCATAACGCAGTGTGTTGAGCATGGACAGGTGTCTGAGAGGTAAGGAAGTGCATTTTACTGCTTCCTTTTCCTTTTCACAGCTGGTCAAAGCCCTGGGCTCTGCTCTGCCCAAGATCCCCACGGTAAAGCAGGACCTTTGGCCTCCCAATCCTTTGACACCAAACTCTCCATTTAAGGGGAATTCTCAGATCACTCTCCTCTCCCATGTAATTCAAGTTCCCTTTTTTGAGCCTGGTGCTCGCTTTAGACCTTTTGGATTCCTTTCTTCAGTGTTTCTTTAATCTTACCCTGACTATCCCTGTGCTCACTGTAACTCCAGCAGGTGAACAAACCAGAAGATCCTGTGAGGGTCACTAAACATGAACTCCAATGGCTTGGGATCCCTAAAATTCCTTAAATATTGTGAAGGTTTCCCTGATTTATGTTGCTTAGTATGGAATTAGATTAATAACATTATTGCACAGTCCTTTGAAAGGTTGTATTTTGTTAATAAATAAAACTGAGCAGCCACATTTACATTTCAAGTCTTTTGGAAGCTCAGGAAAATAATTATTTTTGTGTAGAATCTCCTTCACTGAAAATATAAAAATTTTTATCCTCTCCCTTCCACTTTGGTTTAAAAGATATTTTTTCCTGTCCTTCTAATGTCATTCTGCAGGTCCTGAGCTCCTGGTAAACTGGGAAACTCAGCCTTTTAGCTCAAAGTTCAATTGGCTTTTGGATGCCCTTAGGTCCAAGGGCCCTTTTACATGGAATTTTTATTGTTAATCTTCTATTATTGGGGGAATTATTTTGCAAACAGACCAATTCAGTCCCTTCAAGCCCTGAAACCTGTCAGGCTGCCTTTCATTGTGATTGCTTGTGATAAGGAGCTTTGGTAAGAATGCTGTGCCTGCAGCAAGTGGAGACTCTCACCTTGGAGGGGAGCAGCTTCAAGGGCCCAGGGAACGTGTGGCTCTTTCAGCTCCTCATGAAAAGGGAAAGGAGGTGTTGAAAAATCTGATCAAACCTTTGAATTAGGTGTGGGACTGCACCAGGAACCAGAGGAAATGGCCTGTGTTATCCACTGAGGCTTTTTTCCTGCACAGTGATGACTTGAAGGTGGTTCCAAGAGCTGGAGTTGCTGCTTTGTTCCCTGTGTTTTGGCCATGGGAAGGGGTGGGTGATGTGGCCTCAGAGTGATGGGACATCTCAGGAGCCCCACCCTGAAGCAATTTTATCATCCAGACTGACTATTTAGACAAAAAAAGGTAAGTAAAAATGATATTTTATAAGACACGTGATTGTTTTGCCTTCTCCCCAGTGCCAGCAGCCCATTAGGAGCAAACAGCCCAACCTTGCAGTGAGCAGGGAGATGCTGAAGGAACAACTCTCTCCTTTCAATGCCTGTGCAAGGGAAGTGTTTTCAGCACTGCAGCACAACGTAGGCATTAAGAAGATTTGCTGTAATTCCATTTCAAAGAGCTCACAGTAAGTAAACGATTTTCTGCCCTGTCCTTAGTACTGTCCATAAAACTCACATCAAAATGTCTGTTCAGGTGGAGAGCTGAGTGTAGCCTGCCAAAGGCCAAGGATCATGGAATATCCTGAGCTGGGAGGGACCCCAAGGACCGTGGAGCCCAACTCCTGAGGAAGGGGCTGCTGCGTTTCAGAGCAGCTGAGCAAAGGGAAGGTTCAGTGGATCTTCCTTCCCGCAGCGTTTCTCTGCATCTTGTGGGCACGTTTTGTTGTGCTGCTGCTGAGGGTGATGTTAAAAGCCAAAGCCAGCTTCAGCCCCTCTTTTGTGCTCGTGTAAAGCTTGCAGAACGACAGCATTTATTCCTCTGGCCAGAAATCCTCCTCTGTAGCAGGTCTGTTCACTTGTTCTTTTTCTTTCAAGCAGCTTGAGCTCACTGAGGGTTTTTTTTACCTCCTTCCCAGGGAAGTATAGCTTTCACCAACACAGAGAGTTCTGTTTTCTCTGTTAAAAACAACTGCCCTCGAGTGGAGTGGGCTTTTGTGTTCAGCCCTGGAAACAGAGCAGCTCATTCAGAGATAAGGCCCCTCTGCGTTCGGGTTCCTGCAGTCACCTGACAGAGCCACGGGGAACTTTTAGGCTGCTTTATTCTGCATTCCTGACGTGCCTCCCTGCTGGCACCGCAATGAGCAGCCTCAGGTTCATTGCCTGCCACCCGAGCCCGGAGCTTTCGGCCCGCTGTGCCCTCGGATGCTGCCCCGGGGTGGCGGGAGGACAAAGCCGAGGCTCGGGCTGTGTCCCCGGAGCGCCTCTCCCCATCACTGAGGATGGCCCGGGGGAACCCTGAGCAGGTAAAACCATCGCTTTGTGCCCGCGGCTTTTCGAGCTCTTGGTTTTGAGCTCGGGACCCGCCGAGCGTGGGAGCGACGGGGCCGATGTGAGCTCGCAGCATCCCCGGCGCTTGGGCTGGGGGGTGGTTTGTGCCATCCTGGGCTGCCAGGAGGATCCAGCCCCGTGTGCCTCGGGCTCTGCAGCCTTAGGAGCTCCTCTCTGCTTGGTGAAAAGACCACAGGAATCGTTTTGGCAACAAAAGGGACTGTTTTTTGCTAAACAAAGAGTCGTTATCTTCTCCATCTCGCCAATAATGGCTCTCTGGAGTCAAAGCAAAGGAAGGGGCTTCCCCCACCTCCTGCAGCTCTGCTCTGCTGCTGACCACGGAAAGGTGCTTTGGAACCCTTATTAGCTGGTCCAGGCACCAGCCTGCTCGGGAAATATTTATTCAAATGGAAAAAGCTCAGGTTTATTTGTTAAGCTGTGTATTGTTTAGCTCATTTCAAGCTATTTGGTGTTGAAGGGCAAAACAATCTCTAGGCAAAGGGTGGGCAGGCCCTGGCACAGGTTCTGCCCAGAGAAGCTGTGGCTACCCCAGCCCTGGAAGTGTCCAAGGCCAGGATGGAGCAACCTGGGATAATGGAAGGTGTCCCTGCCTGTGGCAGGGGGTGGAACAAGATGGGTTTAAAGGTCTCCTCCAGAATTCTGGGATTTTATGATTCCAAAAGGTCCTTCAAGATGCACTTTGTGTGTATGTGTTTCAGGATGTCCCTGGTTCAGGGGATCCTGTCTGAAGCTTTCACACACCATTTAAAACCCTTTGCTAAACTGGAACATATGACACTCGATGCATTTGCTGATTTTTCTCTCTCTCTTTTTTTTTTTCTTTCTTTTAGATTGGGGCCAAGGAAGTCTTGAAACCCACCCGGGATTTGTTCCTCATATTCACCTGATCCCTGCTCCCCAGGGCTGCCTCCATCCTGTCCCCATCTGAGCTGTTGGTGCCCATGGTGCCCTGGGAGGGGGGGCTGCCACAGCCATGCATCAGCTCTTGGGGCTGGTTCTGGCACACAAGGACCTCTCCCGGGCGGGGGATCTCTTCTCCCTGGAGGATGCTGAGATCGAAGGCAGCCTCTCCGAAGCTCTGGAGCAAATCAGGATAATTAGTTCAGCTGCAGTAAGTGAAGCACCGACCAGGACACTTTGTCACGAGATTAAATGTATGAATAAAATATTCAGAACAGGGACATACACAATTTAAGTTTCTAAAAAACAAACAAACAAAAACCAACAAAACAAAAAAAAACACCCAACCCTGAAGAGAAAAGTGTAAGATGTAAAAATGTGGTAACAAAAAGCAGTTCCCCCCCAGCTGGATTTCCTTTAAAGCTTTTTCGAGTTCATCTTTCTAATAATTTTCACTAAATAGTTATTTAAAGCCTATTAAAGGTTCACATGAGGTTGCATAATCCATACCTTCACAGTAATGAGAATTAGGACCTCAACCAGTGGGATGAACTGATTTCTGTGTTTAACCCCACTAAACGTCCGTTGTAAAGGTGGAAGTGGGAAAATGGACACTGTTACAAAACCTTTGTGTCTTTGGGTTAATTTTGTGAGGCCCTTGATTGGGATTGATGGGGAAATGTCTTTTAATTGGCGCCAGGACTACCAGAGCAACGACAACGACCAGGCCGTGGTGGAGATCTGCGTCACCCGCATCACCACGGCCCTCAGGGAAACCTCGTCCCTCGAGCGGCACGGCCCGGCCCTCGTGGCCCTCTGGGAGTCCTGCCTGGAGCACAACCTGAGCCCCTCGGGCAGGGATGAGGACGCTCCACACGCCAAAATCGCCTCGGACATCACGAGCTGCATCCTGCAGGTAACGCCCGGCTGGGGGTGCCCTCCACGCACGGTGGGGTTGTGCCTTTAGGATGCCTTTGTGCTCTTTGGGGTTGTGCCTTTAGGATGCCTTTGTGCTCTTTGGGGTTGTGCCTTTAGGATGCCTTTGTGCTCTTTGGGGTGCACGGCAGGGATTGTATTGAAAATCGAGGGCTTGGCCCCAAATGTGAAAATACAGAGCACAGTCACACGTCCTCTGAGGGGCAGTGGTGCTTCAGGGGTTTGTGATCCCTCCACTTGCCTCTGGGAATGGCTGGATTTGGTGGGGACCACACTCTGAGGTGGGAAATGCCTTCCTGGAGGGGTTGGATTTGGTGGGGACCACACTTTGTGTGTGCAGTGCCTTCCTGGAGGGGTTGGATTTGGTAAGGATCACACTTTGAGGTGGGCAATGCCTTCCTGGAGGGGCTGGATTTGGTAAGGATCACACTTTGTGTGTGCAGTGCCTTCCTGGAGGGGTTGGATTTGGTAAGGATCACACTTTGTGGTGGGCAATGCCTTCCTGGAGGGGTTGGATTTGGTGGGGAGCACACTTTGAGATGGGCAATGCCTTCCTGGAGGGGTTGGATTTGGTAAGAATCACACTTTGTGCAATGCCTTCCTGGAGGGGTTGGATTTGGTAAGAATCACACTTTGTGGTGGGCAATGCCTTCCTGGAGGGGTTGGATTTGGTGAGGACCACACTTTGTGCAATGCCTTCCTGGAGGGGTTGGATTTGGTAAGGATCACACTTTGAGGTGGGCAGTGCCTTCCTGGAGGGATTGGATTTGGTGGGGAGCACACTTTGTGTGTGCAGTGCCTTTCTGGAGGGGTTGGATTTGGTGGGGAGCACACTTTGAGGTGGGCAATGCCTTCCTGGAGGGGTTGGTTGTCTCCCTTTTTCCTCCTGTCCCTGGATGTGAGACAGTAACCAGCAGCACCACAGCTTAAACTTTCCAGGTGAGAGACTGTATGTTGGGAAATCCCAGTTTATCTTCGTGGCACTTTAGAAATCAGATTTCAGAAGAACACTGAAGCGTTAAGTGGCTGCTCTAAACTTTCACTCTGTGGCTAAACCAAGCCAGCTCATATCCAGAGTTTTGGGGACTACACTGAGTTGCAGATTCCTCCTTTTGTGAAGTAACTGAAATGAAATGAGGTGGTTCATGGAATCATGGAATGCTTTGGGTAGGAAGGGACCTTTGAGATCACTCAGTCCCACCCCCTGCCATGGGCAGGGACACCTTCCACCAGCCCAGGTTGTTCCAAGCCCCGTCCAACCCGGCCTTGGACACTTCCAGGGATCCAGGGGCAGCCACAACTTGGATGTAAAAGTACATTTGCTGCTCCCTGAAAGAGAGCTGTTAATAGCAAGTTCCTTTGCCTAAAAAAAAAAAGAAAGAAGGCATAAAATGAGAGTTTTTTATAATATGTGAGCAATGGTTGAAGCTATGGTGAAGATAATGAATATCTGCCAGCTGGGCTGACTCTCCCAGCAGGTCTCTGTTGATATGAACAGCAGGGAGGTCCCTGAGGTTTGCAAGCATCACTAGATCACAATATTGAAATGTGGTCTTTATTATCACCTTCCCATTTTCTGAGTGTGTAATTCATGCCCCAATATTTATCATGGAACAAATGAAACCTTTCTGCTTCCAGCAGAATTCCAGCCTTTCCTTAACTAAGTGTTTTATCTTTATTGGAAGGGGGAGGGGGGAAGAGCTGTTCTTTGGAATTCTCTTAGATCTTTTAAATCCCAGTACAAGGGCCAGACCTTATCTTCCCATTCTTTTGTGGGGAGCAGCAGAGTAGAACTTGGAGGCAGCATTTGGCTCCTGCTCAGTGGTGCCTCCCAGCCAAACATAACGAGGCATTATGTTGATTTAAACATGCTGCTGCACAAAGCTCGATTTATTTTAAGGGCTTCTCTTGTTAAAGACACAGTTTTTGGTCCCATGGAAGTTGCCAAAATGATCTATCATGACATCAGGACATTTCTGCAGCCCTTTCTCCCTTTGGGGTCTCTGAAAGGGACTGTCCAAAGCTTGGCAGGCCTCTCTTTCAAGGAAAAATCCTCAGAGCCACTTAAATTCTGAGGAATAAGGAGTAACAGATTTGGTTTTCCTCAGTCTAAATTTAGTCTTTTAAGTGCTGCTCCAGAAGGAAAGTCCAGAAAGTCTGGCCTGCCTTGCTTTGCACTGTTTTGTTGCCTCCTGCAACATCTGGGTTCCAGTGGTTGCCTGTGATTTCAGAGGCTAATTAAATATAATCATATTGCAGGGTTATTTTCAAAACCAGGGATGTGCTCCAGTTTCAAAGGGCTGCTCAAAAGTGAGTGGAGAGGAGAGGAAGGCACTGCTTAAGGAGGCTCCAGAGAGGCTGCAGGTCCTTGGTGACACAAGAACACTCTACTGGTTCCCAGGGCAGTTGTGTGGGAACTTAAGGGGGAATATATGGTGATGTGTGTAGCTTGTACACAAGATTTCCTGTGTATAAATAGTAGCAGAAGACCCTTTTCTGTCCTGAATGTCAAAACCCAAGTGTATCCTGAGATTTTTTGAGGTTGGTGCCCTTTTGGAAAGGGAAGTTTGTAATCCTGAAAAATTTCAAGGATTCAGAGAAATTGCTGGACTTGTCCAGAGCAGCTGTGGCTGCCCCACCCCTGGAAGTGTCCCAGGCCAGGCTGGACAGGGTTTGGAGCAACCTGGGCTAGTGGAAGGTGTCCCTGCCCGTGGCAGGGGGTGGGACTGGATGAGCTTTAGGGTCCCTTCCAACCCAAACTATCCTGGAATTCAGTGAGTTTAAAAAAAAATGGAGATCTCACCTATGAGAGGATAATTAATGATCAAAACCAAAGCTACTGCACTGTGAGCAAGTGTCCCAGTGCACTCACTGGCAGTGACTGCTCCAAGGTGTTTCCTACGCTTTGGGATGAGAATTCCCTGCTCTGTGTGGAGGATGGATACAGCTCCTGGTGTCTTCTCAGAGAGCATCAGTCACAGAAGGTCCCATTAGAATTGTTCAGCAGTTAACATTTAATTAGTGCACTTCATATCAGGTTTGCTCCTCTTCTAGCAGAAGACAAAAAGCAGGTGCATTATGAACATTTCCCAGTGCAATAATTTTAAACCTCTTCATGTGCTCTTTCTCACATCTCCCTTCAGTGGTGCAACCAGAACACAACCTTCCTTGATGTGTGGTTTTATTTTTTTTTTCTCTTTTCCCCTTGTTCTAATTTTCTTCTTCCTCCTCTGCTCAGCACGAGACTTTTCAAATTAATTTTTTCAGCTGCTTCTTTTTCACCGCTTGCTGCTGGTTTTTTGCAGAATTACAACCGCCCCCCAGTCATGGCCTTGGCTGTCCCAGTGGCAGTGAAGTTTCTGCAGAGGGGCAACAAGGAGCTGTGCAGGAACATGTCCAGTTACCTGTCCCTGGCTGCAATTGCCCAGGTGGATCTGCTGGCTGAGCACACGGACACCATCGTCAGGAGCGTCCTCCAAGGTAGGAACGGGGAGATTTTTGGGGCTCAGTCCTCCGCTGTGCCCGGCACTGCACCAGTTAGGATGTGTTCTGGGCACGGTATGGGATCCTTAAAAATCCGGAATCCCTGAAATCTGGAACCCTTCAGGTTGGAAAAGGCCTCCAAGATCCCCGAGTATAACCATTAGCAAACACATTATATATAGAAATATGAGGCGTGTTTGTATAAAGCAGACATATGGAAATACCTATAAACGTGATAAAACACTTTGGACACACTCTAATAACAGATTATCAAGGAATATGGGAATTTACTGAACCTTGTTGGCTGTGGAGGTTTCATTATGGATTGGGTGACCCCCAGGGCAGGAAATCCAGCTGTTCTTGTTAATATTCCTGACTAATGGACTTCAAATTATCAGCCATGATACGAGGCACTAGTTCTGGAGCTCTTATCCTTTCTATTAGTGTCCCTGGCAAGCCTCCAAAATAGAAATGGGGATGAAATTAATCCCATTCTGTGGCAAAATAGTCAGATGTAAGATAGAAGAGCTTTGTGGTGGTTCTTTAATTTTGCCTACATTGTTAGCTTTATATAGAACATTGTTGCTAATCTCCTTACATTTTATTTTTGTGGTTTGAAAAGCCAAAAATATTCTTTCTTCTATAAAAGGAAATCCAATTTAATTTAAGTAATAAAGTTCCAGCTATTTGTTGTAGTACAGTGCTACTGCAGGAGTAAATCCACTGTTTTCCTTCAAGTGTGGGTAATAATTAGACAGTTACCGCTAATTACTGCTATTAAAAGAAGATTGTTATGGAGATGTTAAGCACTCAAACTAAATGTGTGCATTCTTTATTAAGTTATTATTTATTATATTCTTTTAAGACTCGACATCAGTATTTATGTGTTGCCCTCGTGCACTGTAACTCAGAGGCAGCAATAAAAGAAATAGAGGCAATTCAGCCACAGGTTTGGGAAAAGCGCTGCACAGCTGAAGGTTTCAGCACGGCTGAGTCGTGTACTTATGTTGTTCCACCAGCAGATGTTGCTGTGGATATCGGGTTTGGGGATTCCAGGCGGGGAGAGGGCGCTGAGCAGGCACAAGGGTTTGTTTCGCAGAGCGGCTCCATCGCTCTGCGCAGAATTCGCGTTTCGGGCACGAAAAGCAGCGGGCTCAGAACTGCCCTTCCAGGCTGTGTGCTGAGGGGAGAGGATGAGCTGCTGAGGAGGGGTTTCCAGAGCAGTTTCTGGAGACAAAGGGCCTCGTTGTGGGGCTGCCCAGCCGGGGCTGAGCCTCGTGGCACCAGGGCAGAGCGGCTTTGGCCCCTTGCCCGCGGGCGCTGGAGCCAGCTGGATTTTGTGATAACTTGGGGCAACTCTTTGGCTGCACAGTCAGGTTCTTATCTCCTCAACTAAAAAAGGGCTCTCTGGAAGGAGTGTTTCACTGCTCTGTTGCAGTGAACTCAGCTCCCAAACACGCCACAGCCCCGTGCCCGCACCTCCCACCGGCACCGGGGCTCCCACGGAGCTGTTCCCTCTTCCAGGGGACAGCAGCGACACCGCCCTGTGATCCCAGAGTCCCGTGGCTGCTCCACCTTCCAGAGGCACCAGGTGGATGCTGCATCCAGCAGAGAGTCTTGAGAGAGGGCAGAGCTGGGCTCCCCACCTGCCAACTCCTCTGCTTTCCATCGGCAGTGCAAGAGCAGGGTCTTGGTGGCTCTTCCACGTTCGGAGCCCAAACTCCCCAAAATATTATTTACTTGGTGTTTTCCCAACAGCCCAACTGCTGACCAAGAGAAACGGAGTGAAGTGAAGAAGGAAGGGGAGAAGTGTGAGTTAGTTGTGGTGCTGGACTGTGGGAAAGCTTTGCTGCTCCACAGAGGTGACAAAGGGAGAGCAAAGCAGTTGGAAAGAGGAAAGTTTTCCGGCTGAGTCAGGGAGAATGGAAGGACTGGCTTTGCCCTTGGCCCTCTGCCAAACCAGAGCAGAGATAGGAGAAGGCTCCTTCCCAGGCAAAGCTTTTCAGGTATGAGATGCAGTAAGAAAAGCAGCCAGGAAGGATTTCTGGTGATCTTTTGGAGGAGTTTCCTTTTTTCTGTTGCGTTTCATGGACATTTGTTTCCATTTAATGGAGGGAACTGTATGGAAAGGGGATTTGAGAGTGATTTTGCCCTTGTACAATATTGGGACCTGAAGTGTTTTTGTAACTGAGGATCTGTTTTCTGGCTGCCAGCAGATGACCACAGGTAATATTTCTTTGTTCTGTTGTTAAGGTTATTCACAGATATTATTTAGTGAGGGATTTCTGTCCAGTTTGCTACTAAGCATTTGTAACTTAGATCCAGTTTTATTACAGGGTAACAGGAGAAATTCCAGCAATCAGAGCAATTATTTTTCCCTTAAATAAACAGTGCTGCCAGAAATTTGGAGCAGGTCACGTAACTTTGGGTATGAAGCACAAACCCCCCTGAATTGCACAGTAAAGGGGAATTTACCTTGTCACAGCTTTTCCTCACCGTTTTTGTGTCCTGGAACGAGGACCTGGAGTGGTGTTCAGGAAGAGCTGTAGCAGCAACGTGCCAGGAGGTTTTTCCAAGTGTGTTCTCAGGACATCTGCAGGGAATGAGAAAGGCAGAGAAACGTGGGAATAGAGAAGAAGGATGGGCTGCTTCCAGGGGAAATGAGAATTGCTCTGAACGAGACACTCCTGGTGATGGCTTGGTCAGAGGGTTCAGCAGGCAGCGAGTGCTGTTGATGTTGTAAATGGTTCCGTATCCAGTGAGTGGCTGTTCATCACCCCCTGCCTGTGCTCTGGTTTGCACGTGGAAATCACCCCTCTGTCTGGGCTCTGCACCTGCTGCTTGTGCTCTGTATCCAGCCCTGGGCTTTTACTGGGGTTTGGATGAGCTTGTGAGAGTGAGAGGAGAAAATGACTGGCCCTGAGCAGCAATTCCTTGGACAAACCTCCCGTCAGCAGCAAAGGATTGGGTGACTCTGGGTGTCTAAATGCACCTGAAAACTGAGTCTGACCTCAGAGGGCAGCATTATGGGGGAGAACTGATGGATTTTTATTTGGGGATGTCCCAAACCAACCCTTCCTTCAGCCTCCAAGCACTGCCTTAGCACAGCCTCGACTCAGTGCACAGGAGGACCCCTCTGTTTCTGTGGGATGTCACTATTTATATTCTTTTTCTCTTGGCAGCTAAAACTGTATGGGTCAAAACATGGGAAAATTCCCACATGGGGACTTAGTTTCAGAGTTCTGGTTCATGAGAAGCATGGAGAGTTTTAGTTTAGTAAAGTACCTTTATTTACAGAACAACTTTACAAAAATAATTTCAATAAAATTATCACAAAGTCCATTTACAATATAATACAGCTGCATTTTCTCCCAATGTAACATCAGATTATGATGGGGAATATTACTTTGATATCAATCCATGGCATAAATAATGATTTAAACAAGGAGCTAGTTTTGTTATAGTCTACAAATGACTAACGACGATTAATAACACATTTCTTGACTTAGGTGGTCCCTCTGTACAATTCACATTGATGCTATAGAGCCCAGGGGCTGGAGGAGCCTGGAAGATCATGGAATCAGGAATGCTTTGGGTTGGAAGGGGCTTTAAAGATGATGCAGTCCCACCCCTGCCATGGGCAGGGACACTTTGCACTACCCCAGGGTGCTCCTGGCCTTGGGCAGGGATGGGGAATCCACCCCTGGGCTCTGCAGAGCAGGGTCAGGTTTCCCTCAGCAGGGCTGTTGGGAGCACCCTTTGACTCCCAAGTGTCCACAGTGCCCCTCACTCTGAGACACCAGAAACACCGAGCTGCCAGACCTCAGGAACAGCTTTTCCAATGTCATGCCTTGACGTGTGGGATCTTTTTCCAGGGTTTTCCCAGAACAGCAGGCAGAGATCCAACCCCATCTCTCCACAGGGCCTCGTTTTGTAAACTTGCAATGCCGATCATCCTTGGGAATTTGGGACATGGGCTCCTACAGCTCAGTTTGGTTGGAGTGCTGGCGCTCAGCTCTTTGGGAGTTCCCTTCTCTGTGCAGGAGCTGCCGTGCCAGGGTTTAGGACACGTACTGGGCTCCTCCGTGGGGCAGCACCTCCGTGACCCCCCACCCCACCACGTTGCCCCTGGTGCCACAGGAGCCCTCCCCGCTCTGTGCCGCGATCTCCGGGGCGCTGAGCACCCTGTCCCACAGGTTGAACCCAGTCAGTTTGCCAGAGAAGGCCAAAGCTTCGTCGAAGCCCCCCCCGACGCAGCAGCCGTTCTTCTCCTGCCCGAGCTGCAGGATGCCCCCGTCGGGAATGGTGTGAGCGCTGGCGACGTCCAGGGCGCTGGCTGCCAGCTGCCCCTGCACCCACAGGGCCGCTGAGCCGTTCTCCGAGCTCCACGTGCCGCACAGGTGGACCCACTCGCCGGGAACGACCGCGTTTGGGGCGGCCACCCTGTGCTGGCCGCCCCCCACGGCGAGCACCGCCGAGCCCCGGCCGAGGTACAGCTGCATCTCGTAGGGGTTGAACCTGGTGCCGTAGGAGAAGACGATGGTTTTGTCCAGAGCCTCTGTCACCCTGATCCACACGCAGGCGGTGAAGGAGCGCAGGGTCATCCCGGCGGTCGGGTGGACGCTCCCAAATATCTTCCTGGAGCGCATGGGGAACAGGAGGGCGGTTTCGCAGCCTGGTGGGGAAGTTAAACGCGGCGTCAGGTAAATAGGGACTGGTCTGTTTGTGTGTGCACAGGTGGGACCTTTGATATAGCATAGAATTGTTAAGGTTGGAAAAGACCTCTGAGGTCACCCAGCCGTGGCTACCCCATCCCAGGAAGCGTCCAGGACGGAGCTTGGACCAACCTGGGATAGTGGGAGGTGTCCCTGCCCAGGGCAGGGGTGGCACTGGATGGGCTTTAAGGTCCCTTCCAACCCAAACTGTTCCATGACTGTGCTTCCCAAGGGTCTCTGCCTCCTGGGAGAGCAGCTCTTTTGCTGCCTCACCTAAAGCAATCAGCCTTAAACTGGGTACTTAAATCAGTGACCCTCCCTCGGGGCCATTTAGGCCTTGGTTTAGCCTCTGAGTTCTTTTTAAGTATTAAATAGTGAAAATAACCCTGTGGTGAGGGGCTGGGGTCAGTGAGCCATCAAGCAGCAGGTTTGAGTGCCGTGGCATTCCCGGGATAGAGTGGAGGCTGTGGCTGGAGGAGGGGATTGCTGGGCTGTGTCCTGGGGTTGTCTCCTGGATAACTGGGCAGCAGGGGAGGACAAGAGCTACCAAAAAGTAGCAGGAACATGCTGAGATGGGCTCATTTATTTAATATAATGATTCCCTGTCCTGACCCTGCCTTTAGGGTTTTTTGGTCAGCAACATTTGGGCACTGGGTAAATGTGGGAAATGTATAAGATAACGCGTATTTTTAAAGCAGTTCATCTCTCACGTCTCATTAATCACTGTGTTGATAATAGAAATTAGATTAGTTAAAACCACTGACAGGAATCAGTGAAACTTGGAAAAGCAGCTGATGATCACTGAGGCCAAGACACTTCTGGTATCTTATGCGCTGTTCCCGAGCTGTACATAGCTTAATGCCCGAGGTGACACGGGGGAAGAACCAGCCCCTTCTCCAATCAAGCCGCTTCATTTCCCGTTTAAAGAAGCTGGAGGGTCTGAAATGCCTAAAACGTGAGTGGAAATCTGTGCTCCAGGGCATGAAGGAGCCCTTTGTGCCCCCAGGATTGCTCTGCTCTGGTATTTCATGGGCTGCTTTCCTCCGGCTTCCAGCAGATTTTCCCTCTCTCCGCTGGCCCTTTTGAGGAGGGGCAGGGTCAGCGAAGCAACTGCTGGGGATGCTCCTTAAAACGCTACTTAGGAGCACTATTGTGAAAAAGCTTTTAATTAGCGGGCTTTCAGGCTTTATTATCAAAGCCTAAACAAAATTAAAACCAGCCTCAGCAAAGAACAAAAAAGTGTGATTAGAAAATCCCTAGAGAATATGGCTGGCAGGAATTCAAGATGAGAGAAATTAAAGTCAGTTGCTAAAAAATTCCCTTGGAAAAAAAAAAAAATTAAACCCGGAGAGAGGCTCTGGAAGTACTTAAAATGTAGCCTTTAAATTGAAAAATATGAAGGTTTTATATAAAACCATGTAGGAACCAGTGGAAGTAAAGTGAATTTCCACTGATGAGGTGCTCGGTGTGGACCGGGTTTGTTGCTCTCACCTAGTGCAGAGTAGCTGAGTGAGGCTGGTGGGGCTACAGGAGAAGATAAGGAATGAGATCATGCTCTGGAAGGCAGGAGATTTGTGTTTGGGGAAAAGAGGAATATGCTGTGAGATCTACCCCCAGTACACAGAGATTCCTGAGGTGTTGTGATAAGGGAGTGAAAGCCATTTACTTTAGCTCTGAATGGGTGTCCTACATGAAAGGACGGATTCAGGTGAGGTCATAAAGCGCTTTGATGTGGATTGTGTTGTGTCTGTGGAAGTTTAGCAGTTACAAGCTGTTCCTTCTTGCTCCCCTGTGTAGGATCTCACTCAGGAGATGCTGCTGCAGGTCTCTGGCAAGGCTGGTGTAGCTACACACCCACTCCCACAGGACTCTGTGGATTTCTGTGGGGCTTTTAAACTGTAATAACTTAGATTTGTGGAAAGCACAGCCATTAACCAGCTCTTAGAGGCCAGGTAGTGACAGCTCACTGATATTCAGTGTAGATGTACCTGCCTGTAGCAGTTCTGCACCCACGTCTCACCCAGATGAGGGGCTGCTCTGCCATAGCCAAGTCGCTTTTTTGGGTGTCTCATTGCACTGCACAGCGAACTGATGTGGAATTTGAGGCATGTGCTCATCTTTCTGTGGTCACCTCGCTTGCTGAGCAGTGCAAACGCTTTGGAAGGGCAAGAATACCCCCAAAACACCACCCCAGTGTTCTTAATTTATCCATCCAGAGGAAAGACTCTGCCCTGACAGCTGGGTGCAGGGGGTGTGCCCTCCCTGCTGTGGAGGTGTGCCTGGCTGGCTGACATCAGCCCTCTGCTCTTGGGCAGTTGGAGTGGGTGAGGAGGTGTTAATTTAGGGAGAGGAAGGAGTGGGAACACGCAGGGAGAGAACAGGAGAGCTCCCTGATGCACAGCCAGGGGTGTTGCCAGCTGGGCAGGTAAAAGGTGTGAGAGCACAGTTTGGATGTTGAAGACATGTTTGCTGAGCTGTTTTGACCTGGGAGAGCCTGGAGGTGGGACCCTGGCTGGCTTTACCCCGTGTAAGGACTTGGATTAAGCCCTGCTTTGATCCCACCTTTCAGTAGCTCAGCACCTTTTTTTCCCAGAAGTTAATGGGTTTCCCCCCTTTCTGCACAGACTGCTTAAAGCTGCCCTGCTGTTCCCGAGGTTTCTTTGGAGTCCTGTGGAGAGGAAGGTGCTCGGGAGGGTGTCTGTGGGGTCCCTGCTTGGACAGACCCCCAGGGAGCTCTGGAGAAGCTCTGGTGGACTCACCTGCTGGCAGCAGGCGCTGAGCTGCCCATTGCTGCGACACCTTCAGCTCCGCCCGGGTCTGCTGCAGCTCCTTCCACAGCGAGGTCAGGATGAGGTTGTCCCCTCTGGTGGCATCCAGTTTATCCTGCTGCAGAGCTGTCTCCTGCTCCTCAGCCCTGCTCAGCCAGGCGCTCTCCAGCCAGCCCAGCTTCACGGACAGGTTGTGGCTCAGCTGCAGAACGTGCTCCACCACCTTTCCCTGCTCGCACTCCTGAAGCCTCTTGGCCTCTTCAGCTCGGTCCCTGGTCCTCACAAGCACCTGCTCTACCTGGGACACGATGTGGGAGGCGACTTTGTCGAGGGTGGCGGCGAAGGAGCCCGCGAGGTCGGTGGTGAGCTGGGTCAGCTCTGCCCTCAGGGTCTGCAGGTCCAGCCTGGGGAGCTCGTCCACCGCCTGCAGCATCATGTTCTCCTTCATCTGCGAGTTCTCCAGCATGATGAACAGCTTGTCCCACTTGGTGTGCTCCCGCTGGCAGTCGCACGAAGCAGCTGGAAGGGAAGATACAGATGTTGCTGTTCCTTTGTACTTAGCTTTAAACAGAAGGAGTTTGACAAAATCTGGCTCTGGGCAAGGCTTGTGTGCTCCAGACAGTCACAGAATCACGGAATTACAGCTTGGGCTGGGTCGGAAGGGACCTTAAAGACCATGTAGTTCCAACTCCCCTGCCTTGAGGGGGGGTCAGTGCATTTCTCTCTATGCAGAAAAGGAAAAGTAAAATAGCGTGTCTTAAAGCAATTCTAAAACTGTCATTGACAGTCTTTTGCAGGAAAGCTGAAAAATTAAGAATATAAAGCAAATTCCAAGGCACCTCATCCCAGTGCTTTAGCACTATTATCCACAATAACCCGCTGGCACAAGCACAGGCTTCTCCCTCTGCAAAAAAAATGCTTGTAATAATAACTATTGCAAGAGCTGGGCAACAAAGAACGCGATTCTGCATCTCCACAAATTTGGTTTAAATTCACTTACTTTCCTCGGCAGCAGGGGCTGGAGCCTCAATCTCGTTATCCAGGTTCACGTACATGAGGTCGTAGTCGTTGTCTTCGTCCAGAGGGGAGCCAGAAGCCCCGAGAACACAGAAGAGCGTGAGCAGAGAGAGGATTTCTTGGGGCAGCATTCTCCCAGCTGCTTCCTGGAGATCCCTGGGCTGTCTGGAGCTGCGCTGGGGCTCAGCAGGGCTGGGAGGGAGCCCCTAATAAATGCTGCGAGCGCCTCAGCCCGAATGAATGAGCGGCGCCCGTGCCAGGGTTGTAACCGGAGCGCCGGGGCTGTTGCTTTTGGCTGGGAAGAGGAGAAGGGGGCGTGCAGTTTGCTCAATCCCAGCCTTCCAGGTTCCACTGGGGGATGTGCTGACTCGTGGAGGGAGAAAAGCAGGGGAAAGCCGCTCCTCGGGCCGCCGCTTCCCCCCGGGAGCGGATTCCTGGGACGTGCAGCAATGCAGGGATGGAAGCGCTCGGAGTTCACCGCCGGGCTTGGCTGTGCCGGGAAGGGAAGAAAGAGCTCCCTGCAAACTCAGTCTGTGCTCGGTGTGTGCCAGGGCTGGGGAGGGGACCGGGAGGAAAACAAACGTACCTGGAGCTGCTTTGGAGGCACGTGGCTGGTTTAACTAAATAGTGCAGCTTTTTGGGATGGCTACGTGATGTTAGAGAATAAGTTCTATTATATACTCACAGTTTATTGCTTTAAAAGCAATAAAAGGGAACTCTTAAGGACAACTTGTTAGAGTTCTACTTTTCCAGCCCTAATTACCCCTAACCCCCCATAACTATGTGGATAATCTGTTAGTGCTGGATCTGGTTTTGGGAGTGTGTAAATCAGCAACTGCAGGATCAGAGCTGTGTCTGTCACCTTTGAAAAGGCCAAACAAGGCGCTTTTGGATGAGACATTAATGTAGTGGAAGGATTATTGGTGTTAATCTGGTTTGAATTCCATAATCTTATCAGTTCAGTGGGTCATGAATCATTCCAGAGGTGCATTTCTCAGGTGAGGTGAGGGATAATGTGGTACAAATTATGTATTGCCTATGAACTATCCAGAGAATAGCAAAAAAGGAACCCCATGTAACTCTATCTAACTTGCAATCTGTGTTCCCTTTTCATCATTTGTGTCTCTGCTTTTGCTCATGCAAACCTGGGCTACCTATGCCTTGGATATCGGGGAGAAATTCCTCCCTGGGAGGGTGGGCAGGCCCTGGCACAGGGTGCCCAGAGAAGCTGTGGCTGCCCCATCCCTGGAAGTGTCCAAGGCCAGGTTGGATGGGGCTTGGAGCAACCTGGGCTGGTGGAAGGTGTCCCTGTCCATGGCAGGGGGTGGGACTGGATGACTTTTAACCCACTCAAACTCTTCTCTCATTCTATGATATGGGGTTTCCTACCACTGTGGGTCCTCCAGGTGCTCTCCTGAGAATGTAAATAATAAATAGCTGCTCTCCTGAATGTAAATAATAAATAGCAACATCAAAGCAATATTTTAGAAACCTGAGAAGTCTGGTAAAGTAGAGGTGATAATTATTTTCAGAAAGAATTTCTCCCTGGAAAGGGTGGTGAGGCCTTGGCAGGGGCTGCCCAGGGAGGTTTGGAGTGCCCAGCCCTGGAGGTGTCACAAGGCAGGCCTGGCCGTGGCACTCAGTGCTCTGGGCTGGGGACAAGGAGGGGATGGGGCACAGGGGGATCCATGGGCTGGGAGGGCTTTTCCAGCCTCAGTGATGCTGGGATTTTCAGGTAGGGTTACTGTTGGTGCACAGGCTTTGTCTTTGAATGCCCACTTTGGACACAGCTGGTGTCACTGAGAGCTCCTCTGTCCGTGTGACACTGCCATGTGCTCCCAGGCTCCCTGTGCTGCTGGGATGGGCAGAGCAGAGCTGGGGCACAGGGCAGCCTTTGCCATTTCTGGGTGCAGGGAGGGCAGCCAAAAAGAGGGGGTGTGGGATGGGCTGGGCTGGCACCACCACACGCCCTCGTGGTTCCTCCTGCCTGCCCTGCAACCATTGACTGTCCCCAACTGGAGGTTGGTTTCTGCCTGAGTTGCATAATTCACCCAGTGTGTGGTCTGTTGGAAAGTCTGAGAAAATCTAATCTGGAAAGTACTGGGGGTAAAGGAGGTGGGGATGGAAGAGGGAAGGAAGGTAATTAAGGAGCTGAGTAGGATGTTTTTCCATTCTCAGACGACAAACATGTTTTCAGGCTCTTGGTTTAGAGTGAGACAGATGAAGCAAGATCGGGGAAAAGTGCATTATTTGTAATACACAACATCACCCCTGGCTGCCTGATATCTGAGAATCAAAAGGTTGATGAGCTGTGTGTGTAAATCCCTCAGAGACAAAAAAGGTGTGACAAACAAAGAGCAAGAGGTACTCGGAGCTAGCTAACTCAAACATGGAAACACCAAAGAACAGCCAATTGGGTTGTGCCTAATGACCTTTCAGGAGCTCAGTGGAGAACAGACACGAGCTGTGGTGTCTGGGGGATTGTTTACACGTGTGTATACACAGGTTATCCAGTTAAAAGCAATTCCCTGTCAGTGAGGTCACTTCAATATCGCTGCAAAGGGATGGGCTTGCTCCTAAATTGCCTTTGCTTTTCATTTATCTTGGTTAGTGAATATAAACCCAGCAGTGTTTGCTGCAGGAAACTGCCCAAATCTGTGTTTGCACAAAGTGGTTTTTGTTCAGAGAGGCTCTGTGGCTGAAATCCATCACCTTGTGTCACATCCAATTGCATCACTGCCCCGATACACCCGACACTTCAAAGGCTTGTTTTCCCAGATTAAATAATTAGTCTTACTTTCCAGTTCCCTTCCTATCTGTGACATCCCAGCTTAGGCAATAGCGTGGCTCAGCTTTTAGTGTCTGTATTTGCTTAAAGCTGCTATTTTTTTGTTGCTCTCTGTTGAATTCCTTCCCACTGTACTTCCATAGCTGAGGTGACTTTTGCCTGTCCAGGAATAGGGGAGTTTCATCTTTTGCAACCCTTGGCCCTGCACAGACACCCCACCAATCCCACCCTGTCCCTCAGAGCGTTGTCCAAGCCCTCCTGGAGCTCTGGCAGCCTTGGGGCTGTGCCCACTGCCCTGGGGAGCCTGTTCAGTGCCAACCACCCTCTGGGGGAAGAGCCTTTCCCTGAGATCCAGGTTCTCAGTGTGGGTGGATCGGTGCCCACAGTGCCCTGGTGGGGACACTTTTCAGATGGATTCACTTGTACCATCAGGAAGAGGCTTGCCCAGAGAACGTGGGTAGAAAATGGCCAGAACAGAGCATTTTGCTAAGGTTTTTAGGGTCATTCATCAACCAGCCCCTTTCCTTGGCCACTGGCCTTTGTGCCTGTGTATAGAACAGGACAAGACCCAAACCTGCCATGCCCATGGGGTGAGAGGTGGGCTCTGACCTTGCCTAGAGAGCTCAGAGTGGTTTCAGGGAGGAGCCAGGGCTTCTCCAGGCAGGATAGGATGCAGAAGTGTGGCTGGCTGGAGACACTCCCCCAAGGTTAAGGACCCCTGAGGGGTCATTAGGAGCTGTTTGACTCACGGCTGTCTGAACCTGCAATGAATTATGTTCGTTTCTTGGCCCAGGGGGGACGTTACAAGGCCCAGCCGTGTCCTGGGGTGCGTTCTGTGTCTCTGGCAGGAGCCTGACGTGCTCCAACCTGAACCCAAACATCCTTTCTCTGCCATCCATGAGCAGATCTGCTTATCTTCCCAAATTACACGGCTCAGGTTTAAATGGGAGAAAAAGCAGCAGGCCAGAGAGCAGTTCCTCTTGGAAACCGATCCAAAGAGACCGAGAGCACTTCCAAGGCTTTGCAGAAAGGAGCCACACTAGGTTGCAACAGGCAGATGTTTTCCATATGTTGCTCAAGTGAAACTTAAATCCACGGAGGCAGGCGTGTACAGCACTGGGGGGTTATGGATTTTGGTATGAGCCTGGCCTTCAAATTGAATTATGCACAGACATCTTCAGGAACTGTGTGAGAGAGGGTTCAGCTCTGCCTGCAGTTGACTCTCCCTGGCTCCCTTCTCCTCCTGGAAATGGCATCCTTAACTATTTCTCTGCAAGTGCATATTCAGTTCTCTTAATAACCAACTATTCTTTCCGTGTGCTACCTATTTCATGTGAAAGCCTGAATCTCAACAAAGGAGAATTAGAGCTTTTATGTCTCCCTTTCCCCTCTCTTTCTCCTTTCTTTGTTAACTGAAATCACAGTTAGTTTGGTCTAGGGCTCAACAGAGCATCATCCAAATCTGGAGGCTCATTAAGCAGCATCCTCATGACCCTGCACTTGAGAAATAAAATTATAATTAATAGGATTTTTTTTTTAACGTTTCTGTTACACCAGGTTTATTCTATTTAGGTTATTTACTGGGCTTCTTGGCCAAGTATATAATTTTCTACAGTGCATTTTATGCCCCCCTAGTTTTGTGCAGATGATCCTTCCAGGCCAGGTTGGAGCCTGGATCAACCTGGGATAGTGGAAGGTGTCCCTGCCCGTGGCAGGGGGAGGAACTGGGTGATCTTTAAGAGGTCCTTTGAACCCAAACAGGGGCTGCTGTTCTTAAAAACCAGTGTGTGGGTGCGTGCAGATTTTGTAGGGCTCTCTGCAGGTGTGGGGCACTGCCCAGCAGCAGCCCCTGCCCTTGCTGTGTCCCCAGGGAACTCGATGCTGCTGCGTGTCCTGCCCGCGCTCTACGAGCAGCAGCCGCGGCCGATAGCGCTGCGTCTGCGGGACCTGCTGGCACTGACGGCCCAGCTGGACCAGGCTGAGCAGCACCACCTCCTCAGGCTCCTCCAGGCCGTGGCCAGGAACAAAGAACTTGGGGTAAGCGCTTGGGGGTGGCTCACTGCTCCCCTTTTGCAGGGGCTCGTGTGTTTGGATGACTCAGTGGGGTCTGTGCCGCAGTGAGGGGTCCTTATAACAGGCAGACAGCGACTTCCTGCGCTAATTCCACGAAATTCTGGGATTCCGTTCCAAATTCTCCATCTAGTCACAATGAGAACGTAACAGTGACTCTGCTGGACCAAAAGGTTTGGGTTAAACCATTTGTTTTCAATGATTTTGGCTCTTCCTCCGTCAGCTGAGTGTGAATTCCCATAACTGTGTTTCTGTCCGAGAACATGAGCTGTATTGAAATACATGTCAAGGAAGATTAAAATGAGTTAGGAACTGATGAGAACTGATGATCCTCAACAAGAAAAACCAGAAGAAAGGGGTGTTTTATGCCCCACTTCTGTGTTGAAATGTCTTTCACACAGATGTAGCTCTCATTGGATCTGAGGTGCATTACTGTGCATGTGTGTTTACACAAGAATTAATTACTCAGTGCATAGTTGTAAACACTCCATCCTGTTTGTAAGATGATTTTAAGCCTCAGCCCCCCCCAAAATTGGATTGTTACAAGAAATGACAACTCACCCACAGCATATTTTCGGGCAGTGAGGATCTTGCCCTTTGCTTTCCCCTCTGTTGCAGCTCTTGACCTTGTCACGTTCTTTACTTTCCTATGGAAACAAAAGTTTCTACAAGTCCTTTAATTTACAGTATCATTGGGGAAGGCTGAGTCTTCTGTTGTTTTAATCCATAAAATATAGTCTGGCCTGGAGCGAGGGAAATGTAAGGGTGGGGTTTTGGTCTTTTTTTTTTTTTTGGAACAATTGGCCATTTCCTTACTTATTTATGCATAACTGCCATATTTCAAGGCTAAAGCTTACCCTTATTCCATATGTCGAGCTGAACTTGGATTGACCTCTGTGCAAAGGTCAGCAAGGGTGGAAAACTATTTTATTAAATCAAAGCCTAGTGGTTTATTTTTATCACCCTGGTTAAGTCTCTCTGGGTTATTTGTGTTCCCAATTAAAATACATGTATTCAGTTTGTTTCTGTCTGATTTTTTTTAATAGGTGCTGAAAGAGTGTTTACCCTTTTTATTTGGGCATTTGAGGGACCCCAACCACAGTGATTTGATTCTAAACATCCTCACAGAACTCTCCAGCTACGAACCAACAGCCTTGGCCCCTTTCCTTCCGACGCTGAAGGAGCTTGGGGAGACTTTCCCAGGTTTGATTGGGCAAACAGCAAAGATCTTTGGAGCTGTTGGGCATATTGATGAGGTGAGTTTGGAAACAGAAGTTGGTTTGGGGGTTGGTGTTTTTTCTGAATCCTGTGTAAAATGATACTTCTGAATGTCTTCTTTTCACAAGTAGCCAGACTGTCCCACCAGGGCATTAAAGCTCATCCCATTCCATCCCCTGCCATAGGCAGGAACACCTTCTGCTAGCCCAGGTTGCTCCAACCTGGCCTTGGACACTCCCAGAGATCCAGGGGCAGCCACAGCTTCTCTGGGCACCCTGTGCCAGGGCCTGCCCACCCTCCCAGCCAGGAATTGCATCCCAATATTCCATCTATCCCTGCCCTCTGTCAGTTTGAAGCTGTTCCCTGTGTCCTGTCCCTCCAGGCCTCTGTGAGAAGGTGTTTAGTCACAGACAAGCTGTGGGCCCATCAGTGACAGCCCTGGAGAATCCCCAGGGCAGCCTTTGCCCCCAGAGAAAACAGTTCCTTTTGGCCCCTTCTCAAAGCCATTCCCTTAAATCCTGGGGCTGGGTGTTGCTGCTTGGCTCTGTGGCTGTGCCACAGCTCGACTGGCACTCAGGGATGTCCCACACCTCTCCCCTCGCTGCAATAATCCCAACCCTTCCCCCTTTGGATCTCACTTTGGGTGTGTGTTGGCCGTGCCATGGGGGTCTGGTCACTGTGGGTGCAGCACAGGGAGACACTGCCTGTGCTGTTTCTACTGATCTTGAGCTTTGTCTTCATTCACAATTAAATTTATATCTCGTAAGAATCAAAACCAGATTTGGTTTGGCTTTGTAAATCTCATTTCTGTTGTGTGTGGGGGGAGAAGCCAAAATCCCATGGAAGACTGGGAGCCAAATCCAGCTTGTTGTTGCCTCCTTGTTTACTTCCATCCCTCCAGCAAGCCTGACTTTTATCAGAGCTGCAGGTGACCGTGTTTAATTCTGCATTTAATATTTAGGAGTCAGCATCTCCTAGAAGCTTTACAATTTATAAGCAGCTAAGCCTCAGCTGAGCACAGCTGGGACCAGAACTGAGGGTTTAATTCTGTGTTTTAGCATGTGGAACCAGCCCTTCCCATCTGAGTGTCTCTGAGGCTCCATTTCTGCCGTGTTTGTTACTTCAAAGGGGCTGAATTTATTTATTTTGCCTTTTGTTGTTATTGTCATTGTTTTATACCAAGAACAAGCAGGGAACCCACTGGCCAGGTTGTATTTCATATATTCTTGGAAATTAAAGCCTAAGGTAAAGTTTACAAAAGACATGATTCGAGGAATCTTTTCTCCTAATATTTTTAATCTGTTGGTTTGTTGGGTACACGTAGCTACACAGCCTGCAGTGATTAATTCACCTCTAGTAGGTGTGGAGGAGCTGGCACTGTGTCCTGGGTGTTATTTTTGTCGGGAGCTGCTGGCTCAGCAGCAGGCTGCAGCTCCAGTGCCACATGCCCAGGGAAATGGCACCTTGTCGTGTGTTTGCAGTGACACCCAGGGGACCTCGCACTTGGAAACGTAGAGAAAAGCAACAGGCAAAGGGTGGCACAGGGGGAACCTTCCTGAAAAGATGGAAGCTGTGAGTGTTTCTGAATTATGGATCGTGGTGAAACCCTAGAGTGGTTTGAGTTGGAAAGGACTTCAAAGCTCTTCTCACTCCATCCCTCGATGACAGAATCTGATGATTCTGTGGTCTCACCTGTGCTCAGGAGTCAGCCATGGAGGTGTTCCTTTCTCCTTTAGGAGGAGATGATTCTTTTTCAAGGCGAGGTTGGACAGGGCTTGGAGCAAGCTGGTCTAAGGGAGGTGACCCTGGCAGGGGGTGGAATGAGGTGATCTTTGAGGTGCCTTCCAGCCCAAAGCAGCCTGTGAGTCTGTGACTGAAAGGAAATGCTGTGGATCCCTGGCACGGGGGCATCACTCACTGCAGTGCAGGCAGCCAGCCTGCCATCAGACAGGCACAGACACATCTGGCCTCATCAAAGCTGGGCAGGTCTTAGAAACTCCTGTAGGGCAGTGAGGAAGACTTAAAGCAATACTCTGATCTGCAGGTGTGACTGCAGAGTTCAGTCACCCTGCGCTCCCTTGGTCTCGCTCAGGGCCAGGCAGCAGAGCGGTCCCTGCACACACCAGTGCTGCTGCTGCTCTCGTATCTCACCCTCCCCCTCGTGTCAGTGCCTTCCTGAACCCCTCCCTGCTCACTTCTGCCCCTCTCCCCTCCCCTGTCTCGGGGCAGTGTCACAGAAATGCCGCTGGGTCCTGGACGTGACTCGGCATCTCCTCCCCGGCCAAGCAAAACAAGCGGGGAAGGGAACGGTGATGGCAGCGCTGGGATTTTAGGGGTTGATTTTCATTTCACTGCAAGGTCTGCCTGGGGAAGAGACATGGCAAGGGCTGAGGCTTGGCCCTCTGTGGTATGGATTGTGGGTGTGAGCAGCAAACCCTCTCTGCTGGCTCCCAAAAAACAACCTCCTGTGCTGCCACTGAGCCGCTCCGTCCACCTTGGCAGTGCCGAGGGACCCCTGGAGAGATGAGAGCCCTGGCTCAAGAGAGATCCCTTTATTCTAAAGGTTGCCCCTTGTTTACACCCCCCACTTCTGCTGATGTCAGGGACGGTCTCAGGGGTGAGGCTGAAATCAGAACTCGTCCCTTAACCATAAATCTGTGCAAAGCAAAACACCATCTTGGGGCAGGGGGCAATGGGACATTCGAATGTATTTTTTTCTTCCCTTAACTGTATGTTTTGAACCCACTGAGAGTTTTAAGCAACTTCTGAAAGCCTTGTGATCTCTTTCCGTAGTCTCCTGAGCCTGATTATAAGCTAAAGCACAACACTTTGCCACACCTCATTGCTTGTGTTTTAGATCTTCACCTTCTGGCAGATGTAATGCCATAAAATGCAAGGGCTGCTTATGAAAAAAACCCACGTGAATACATCAAATAAGCATTGTTAAAATCACAACAGTACATCCAGATAGGCTTTTTGAAGAATTTTTGGATAAGAGTTGGGGCAGGGATAATGACTGCTTTCATGTTGAGCTATTTTGCTGCAATTTTGTTTTGTATAACAGTTACATATTATGTTACTCAGAGTTTATTGTTCTTTTACCTCACTCCAGGCGAGTAGCAGCATTTCAGCAAGGCTGGAGACACTCCAGCTGGATCAAAGTGACAGGGAAATGGTCAAAACTGCTCCTCCAGTTTGTCTGCTGCAGTTTGTTTAGGAAACAGAAAATGTGTTTTAAATGTTAATTGAGCCTGTGTTTATCTCTTGGAGGGAGGATTGTCTTTCAAACAAACTGGTGACGATGCACCAAAAAGTCAACCTCTTTCAGGCCATTGAGGAAAACGCTCCTCCAGTTGCATCAGCCCAGCCCAGGGTGGATCTGGCCCTTCCCCCATGTGTTTGGTGTGTTTTTGTGATGCTCCTTTCCCTCTTATCCCTGTCCTGGCCCGGCCCAGCAGAGCTCTGTTTGAAGGACCTTGACTTTGTCCTCCATAAATTGCCCTGCTGGTGACTCTGGGGCCGTGTCCTGCCTGAGTGCCCCCTGTGCTCTCACCCAGCTGGGTCTGGGGTCGCACTAAATGCTATGGAAGGAGAGAACCCCTGTGATTTATGAGGTACTTTAACCTCTCACCATTAGGGAGAGGAGATGCTGACAGACCCCTCAGCTCCTGCCCCTCACTGCTCATCCACGCTGGACACTTCCAGGGATGGGGCAGCCACAGCTTCACCTCCCTACACTCTGTTTCTGGGCCCTTTTCTTTTCAAGGCCAGGTTGGACGGGGCTGGGAGCAACCTGGTCAGTGGAAGGTGTCCCTGCCCGTGGCAGGGGGTGGGACTGGATGGGCTGTAAGATCCCTTCCAACCCCAAGCATTCTGTGATTTGGTGAAGTAGCTGAGCCAGGCTCAGCACGGATGACAGGGGAGCTCAGTGCTGCTGGTGCCCTGATCCCTGAGCCAGGCTGACCTACCAACCAGAAGAATGTAGGGCCCTTCAAAGGGGCTTTAGGGACTCTGGCTCGAGGTCTGAGGAGGAGACAAGATGTACTGAGTTAGGCTGGGTTAGGTAATACCGAGAGGAACAAAAGTCACGTCAGCAGCACACACAAATAAACTGTCTTTGAGGCACTGCCTTTTTGTTGGTTATCGTGGGGCAGCCACTCTTCCCCAGGGACAGTGACTCAGGCAGCACCACACAAACCTCCCTGCACAAGCAAACACTGAATTAATGTGTTTAAAACCATTCTTATCTCCTCGCCTTGCCCAGGAGACAGCCAGGACCTGCCTGCTGTACTTGGTGAACCAGCTGGCCAACATGGAGCACTCATTTCACCACATTCTGCTGCTGGAAATCAAGAGCCTCACCGACACCTTCTCCGAGCATCTTGGGCACCCAGAGCAGGGACATTTATCGCATGAGCAACAGCTTCACTGCCATAGCCAAGCTCCTGGTCCGGCAGCTCGAGGACAGCGCGCCCGGAGCCAGGTGGGGTTGGTGTGACAAAGCCTCAGTGGGTGTGTGACACAGAGGCCCTCCAGGGCTGGGTGAGGCAACAGAAATTCATGTTAAATCTATTCAAATTACCAAGAAAAAAGCCACATCTCAGATCAGTACACTGAAGCTTCAGGCAAAACTCAGTCAGGGGAGTCAGGCTACTCGATTATCACGGAGTTTTTCTGGAAAGTACCCACTGAGGGTGATGGGAACAACGACTGGTTTGGCTCCCTGGTAAAGGTTTGCCTAAGGACAGGCTGGGAAAAAAATTTCTCAGGCATCTACCAAGAGATGTTCTGCTCACTCAGCTGCTTCTGAGTGTGTATCCTAAGGCTGAAGGGCTGGGAGCGTTGTGGTGTTCCTCAGGGTAAGAATATTAGTGTTATTTAAATACACAGGGGTAGTCACTTTTAATTAGGGAGGGACTCATAATTGGAGCTGTGTGTACTGACACAGGTCAGGAGGGCACAGAGGAATAGTGATTCTGTGGAAAAATGTAACCCAGATGTCAGAAAAGCCATAACCATGAAGGACAGCCTTGGAGCCAGGCTGGGAGCGCTGGAGCCAAAACACTGAGCTCATTGGAGAAACAAGGAATTGGTGTCCTGGAGGGAGTTAAAAATGAAAAAGGAACGAGGAGAGGGTCCCTCCTTTTACTGCAGGGCTGTGGGAAATGTTCAAACTTCACCTGGTGGGAAAGGCCTCAGTGGAAAGGAGCCCTCGGCATTTTGAAATGAAAAATTCCCTTGGAGATGATGCCAAAGCCAAGTGGAGATAACAGAGTGAGCATGAAACAACACACTTGTTCCAAACTAACCAAGTTTACTGGGGAAGAGAGGAGGCCAGATGTCACTTGTTGAAGGGACCAGAGGGGTGTCATGTATTCTGGGAACTGCAGAGGAGCAGGGCAGGGATTGAGGCACAGTAATAATTTATACAACCCATCACGGCCCCTCAATTTGTGGCTGAAAAATTACTTTATTTGTTAAAATATTCCCATATTCCTACTCCTTATTATCTTCTGTGCTTAACATTTATCTGTAGAGCTGATAAAACCCACAGTTAAACACGAGAGAAGGTTTCCATTAAAATCTTGCTGTGTTTCCCTGGTTCTCTCTAAAACTCCCTCTGTTAAGGACTTGCTTTGCCAAGGAGTAGAAGCTTCATCATCTTTGTGAGTGTGGTTACAGATGATTTTTTTATTCTCCATCTGCTCCCTGATTTTATTTATTTATTGATTGGTTGATTTATTTCTTTTAAATTTGATTCCCTCCCCAGCCCTCTGTGCCCCTGGTTCCTTGTGTTGTCTCAGTGTGGCTGGGAGAGATCACAACAAACCCTGATTTTTCACAGTTGCAGTTTTTAGCTCTCAGGTTTTCTGTCTCAGCCTATTTCAGCAAAGGAGCAGCTCAATCAGATAGGGCTAAAATGAGAGTTCTCTGCTGATTTAAGCTGAGTTTACTCTGATTTATACTGGGTGAGTGGGACGGGTGCAGACATCAACGTGGAAATGCCCTCCCAGCCCTGGAGCTGCTGCAGCCACCGAACTCAGAGGTTTAGAAAGAGCAGCAATGCAGAGTATTTGTGCTGTGAAAGGGAAAGAGGGTTTTAAGATGTGTGGCTGGATTATAACCATTCCTTCCAAAACTCGTGTGTTTACATAAGAGGAAGCCGATTTCTGTGGAGCCACGGCTGGCTCGGGGTGGTTGGACACAGGGAGTTTTACATGCAGGGAGTGCAGAGCGTAATTAAAACCAGGCCATGCTCTGGTGCCCCTCACTGTCACAACATTGCAAGTTATTCAGCCTCAGAGGTGCTTTTTAAGAACATACAGAGTTTTAATGGACTTATCCAGCCTAGGAGCATAATATAGTCAATTAAAGGGAGGCAAGGAAGGAAATCTGGAGACACTTCCAAGCCCTGGATCTGGGTAAGAACTGAGCACAACTGGCTCCACCAGTGCTGCCCATCTCAGTGTTGTGGCTGCATGAAATTACCTTTTAAACTGAAAGAGGAGAGGTTTAGGTTAGACACAAGGAAGAGGTTCTTTACTCTGAGGGTGGGCAGGCCCTGGCACAGGTTTTGCCCAGAGAAGCTGTGGCTGCCCCTGGATCCCTGGAAGTGTCCCAGGCCAGGATGGACAGGGCTTGGAGCAACCTGGGCTGGTGGAAGGTGTCCCTGCCCATGGCAGGGGTGGGCACTGGGTGGGCTTTAATGTCTTTCCAACCCAAACCAGTCTGATCATTTCTCCAGCACTTGCCTTCTTCAAACCTCTGTCGTGTTTGAGGAGGTGATTTGTGATTATGTCTGTCCAGTGAGAAACCACAAGGACCCACACTTAACCCATTCTTGCTGCCTCCATCCCCTCAGAGGTGAAGCCCTGGCAGCAACCCCACCTCGAGTGTATTTTTAGCAATCTCTGTTTGTGATGCTCTTTTTCCCATCATAAACACCCAATTTCTGATGCTGATCATGGTCTCCAGGTCTGCAGAAATGTCCTTCATGCTCATGTACCGCCCTTGAACCGGTGACCTGTGCCCTGGGGTCTCTCTGAAGTGGAATTTCAAAGCATGGAGTGATGAGCAGCCTGGTGCCCTCTCTCAGGGCAGGTCCTTGTGGTTTCCCCACGAGCTCGTGCATCTCGAAAACAGGCTGAGCTTTGGGTGTAAACTGATCCTGCTCAGCAACCTCAGCAATGTCCCCAAAGCCTCTTGCCAAGATCTCAAACAATGGTTCATTTTGCAGGGGCTGGGAGGGGGGCCCAGCAGGAAGGGCTGCCAGGCACCCCCCTGGGCGTGGGACGGAGCCCCCTCTGAGCCTCCTGCGTGGGGCTTGAGCTCTTGGCCTCCCGAGGGGCTGGTGTGAGTGCAAAGCTGGCACATGGGAGAGCAAATGGTCCCCAGGGATGGGCACTTGGGATCCCTGCTCTGAGATCCTGGGCACCACCAGGCTCGAGAACCAGGTGGTGGCTGGAGGAGCAGCAGGCAGCGAGAACTGCACCCTGCACACCCTGAGGAGTGACTGCTCCCTGCCCCACCTGTGGAAAGCGGGATTCATTAACGTGTTTCCTTGAGGTCTTTTGCAACCTTAACAATTCCCTGATCCTTTAGGAGAAGTATTTCCTCGTGTTCCCTTCCCAAAGGCGGCGGAGCCCGACAGGAGAACACCGGAACAAAGAGGTGCTGTTCTAAAGCACCGTTTTTATTTCCAAACTTCACCAGGGCTGCCTGGGCCGGGTCTGTCACTCACAAACCCCACCAGTCCATCAATCCCCTCTCTGTGAGCAGAGGCTTTCCATGTATTTCCATATGTAACAGAGGTTTTCCTCAGTGCTCAGCTCCCACAATGGGAGCAGTGTTGGGAGTTCTCTCGGAGTGACAGCTTCCCCATAAATTAAATCTTGTCCTACATCCCCTGAAAGATTTGTTAGCAAAGGTCATATCAAGGTTCTTTATTACAGAAGAATATTTTTCAAGTGCTCCTCAGTGTTAATATATTATGAGATCTTGCTTAAATTAAAAACAAGACAAAACTTGCCAAGCTCCCCAGAGAAATATCCTGAACTGCCTTTATCAAAACAAATGAAAAAGTGCATTTTGTGCTGCAGCATTTCTGGTTGTTTCTTTAAAAACAGGCTTTGTACAATTGGTAATTTGCAGTTTGGGGAGGTTTTTTTAATGGGCTCCCCGACTGTGAGCGTGACTTGTGGAGACTCTGCTGCTTTGGAAGTGCTGTGTTAAAACTCTCATTGGTGGTTTTATATATCCAGATTTTACAGATTTAGCTATTCAGATGTTTGTTCATCAGGAAACATAGCAAAAAAAAAAAAAGAAAAAAAAGAAAATCAAACAAAGAAATGGTCAGAAACAAAACAAACTTGGTTTAAAGCTGTGGGTAGAGTTTAAAAAGTAAACACTGTCCAGGACCCCTTAGTTCTCTAGAATTCCTCTAGTTTGAGGGTGGTGGGGCCCTGGCACAGGTTTTGGTCAGAGAAGCTGTGGCTGCCCCAGCCCTGGAAGTGTCCCAGGCCAGGCTGGAGCAACCTGGGCAGGTGGAAGGTGTCCCTGCCTGTGGCAGGGGATGGCACTGGATGGGCTTTGTGGTCCCTTCCAACCCAAACCATTCTAAGAATCCTTAATTCCTGGATTTTAAGACTAACATAACAAATTTAAAACAAAACTACTTGTCCTGTTCATTTTAACTCTCGATTTTCTCCTTCCTGAACTACAGTGGCATTGCTTAGAACTTTTCCCAAGCCTGTTTCTGCTGAGTTTTAAATTACATTTTTCTTACTCAGAGTGCAGTAATTCGGTAAGAACTTCATGTACTTTGGTCAAACATTTAAAACCACAGAGTTCTATAAACTCTGAAAATAGCTTGACTTTTGCTTTGTGAAAAATTATGTAATAAGTCAGAGTGTTTAGCAAACTGGGGAGAATGGTTTGAGTTTCCACAATGGACAATCAGGAAGAGCTTGCTTATGCAGATACAGCCCGTGGAGTTTCTAACCCAGGGTTGGCAGAGATGCTCAGTGTTTCTGGTCCATCAGAGAAATTCATCCAGAAGATGGTCCTGGAAATAATCTAAGGGAATCTCTGCTGAAACATCTTTATTTTACCAGATCCACGACACAGGGCACAGGCAGAAAAGCAGCACCACAGTGGGCCAGGGTTAAATCTCTGCTCTCTGCTTCCTTAGGGTGGAAAAGGACACTGAAACAGAACCTGCTGTGCCACTGGATGACCTCAAATCTGTCGTGGGTGGAAACGAAGGAGAGGAAAAGCTTCAAGTCAAAATCCAGGCTTTTGAAGAGAAAATAAATGCTGACAACAGCACTCCTGGCTCAGTGAGGAGATACAGCCTGGGCCAGGTTTCCAAAGAGGAAAGGAAGGATATGAGATTTAACAGGTAAATCTGTCAAACTCTGTAAAATGTGACAGGGGCTTCATGGATATCAGCTTTGCCATGGAATGATCCAAACACTGAGGATTTGGTCCATTTGCACGATCCCTATGGGCATCATCAGCCTGATTTTAACCAAGTCTCCTGTCCATGAGTTCAAAGGCTGGGTGAGGTATTTCCTAATCATGGAATCCTGGAATGGTTTGGGTTGGAAGGGACCTCAAAGCCCATCCAGTGCCACCCCCTGCCATGGGCAGGGACACCTTCCACCAGCCCAGGTTGCTCCAAGCCCCGTCCAACCTGGCCTTGGACACTTGCAGGGATCCAGGGGCAGCCACAGCTTCTCTGGACAACCCACTTTGCCCTTTGAGTCACTTCTACCCTCCTGACTCTTCCCTCCAGCCCAGCACGTGGGTGCAGGGCAGGATGAGCTGCAGGCTGAGCCCTGGACCAGTGAAGTGCTGCTGGCTGGCACTTTCCTGGTGTGATCAGCAAGGCAAACACACCACTCCTGGGGTTATAAGATCCTTGCAGAGAGGTTCCCTCGCTCCCCCCATGGAATGCAGATGTTGGGATAGATGGATATGGTTTAGTTTGCTTATTAAAGCTGTGGCTTGAGCTTGGCTTTTGAAGTGCTTGTTCCCCAGCAGATCTCTGGCTGAGTGAGTCCCAGGCTGGGCTCTCTGAGGCAGCTGCACAGGGGCAGAGCGGGGTCTGGGGTGGTTTTGGTGCCCTACCTGTGTTCCAAACCCCTTCTCCTTTCCTTACCCCCCTGCAGGTCCAAGAGCCTCGCCCTGCACGCCGTGCGCGCCAAGGGGGCGAGCTCGGAGGGGGGGCAGGACGAGGAGAGCGGGGAGGTCCCTGCTGGGATCTCCTTCCCCGAGATCTACATCAGCCAGGACGATGAGAAACCGCCCTTGGGAGCGGATCCCGCGGCGATGCCGCTGGGAGATTCCTTGGTTTCGCACCGGAGCGTCGATGACCCCGAATCGGCAGATTGGGCACAATCCGCGCCGGGGGAGGCCTTGGAAGGAAGTGCAGAGGCAGCACCTGTGGAATACCAGGACAAGCTCTACCTGCACCTGAAGGAAAACCTGGGTAAAGTGAAGGAATATGTGGCGGAGATGGGGAGGAAAATTCCCATCCCTGAGCAGTGTGTGATCGAAGGTAAGCGGGATGAGCCTTTCCCATTCCAAGAACTTCATTGACACCCCACTGAGATTCCTCTCAGGGCTCAGGCAAAGGGGCAGCAAAGACTCTGCAGCACGGGCCTTGTGGACGGGGAGGAACATCAGTCTTGTCCAACAACACTCCAGCCCAGACACAAAAGCCCTGGGAGGCTCCACAGGATGAGATTCCCGGGCACTGGGGTGGGTGGGATCCCATCCCCCCATCCCTGGGGTTGTTTGGTGTTTGCTGCTTCCACCAAGGGCAGGGGTTTGTTTGCAGATGAGGGGGAGGTGGTTCTGTGAGGCTGGGGGGGAGGTGGATGAGATGGGTCTGTGGGTGCTCCTCCTCTTTGAAGGGAGTACTTTGAGTTGGGATGGGTTGGGTTGGGATCCTCCTGCCTATCCCCTTTAACCTGAATTTCTGGGCATCCAACCACTCACTGGTGGCCCTGAGCTATTTATTTACAGCCCAACCTTCAAGGGTTGATTCCAAACAGTATCTGATTCCATAAGTTAAATTAATTTCAGTCCTTTAAAACATCATCTTCTAATACAACATAGTTTCAGCTCCAACAAATAGCAACTTAAGTTGATAAAATATTTATTTCCTTACTTTTTCAGTGGTCAAGAAGTGGAAAAGCAGTTTCCACTCACAAAAAGAATATAATTATATATATTTTGAAAGCTTATGCTTCTGGAGAGTTTCCTAAATATCTTAAATCCCAGGTTTAGTGACTGAAATAGTTATTTGGTAGAATTATGATAATTTGGTTGGGTTTTTTTCATCAAATGGCAGTGGAAACATGAGAGTGAACAGTCTGCCTTTTGAAGGGCAGAGTGTTATGACCCTGCATTAATCAAATGCCATACATTGAATATTTTAAAGGTACTGCTCAGCTTCCTTTCTGCAGTGCCTACTATGATACATCCCAGGCACGTGACTGCTTCCAAATTCATTCAAACTATTGTAATTTCCTGAAAATCCTCAACCAGCATTCTTAGGGAAATTCTTTGAGTAGGGACACATGTGCAGAGCAGGAGATTTATGTGACTCATTCTAAATCTGCTGAAGAAAGGCAGCCTGGCTCAATGCACGGGGGGACAGCTTGGACAATATTCCAGATATTGCACAAACCACTCCAAAAACCTGCAGTTCTTGGATTTCAGCGATTCCCAAACTCTAACAAGGCCCATTCAAATCTGTGGTTCACTCTTCAATAAGACGTTTGGGGGGAAAAGAAAAATCAGAAAATATTCATGTATACACAGCTGACTAATTTTCTGTTGGTTCTGGAGGAGTCTGAGCTGGACATTTGATATGCAAGCCGTGAAAAATGTGGAAAGATAAGAACTGCTGAGCAATCCCTCACGAAACAGAGCATCTGAAGGGACCAGGGGCAAAGTGTGTTGCAAGGAACCAGCCCCGTGGTGAGCGAGGGGGGCGAGGGCACGTTCCCCACGTAGCCTTGCCTTAGTCAGGCCCTTCCTGGGCTTTCAAGTGGCAGCTCCCGGAGCTCAGCGGAGTGTTCGTGTCACTGGTAAGAATTCCTAAGTGATGATGGGCCAAGTTCAGTTCCCTTAACCAGAATTCCCCCCCCTGCTCCCGTTTCTGGTGGTGGTGACTGGGGCAGACTGTCTGGGAGCGGGGTGAGTTCCTCATTGCTCAGCACCCAGGCTGGGTGGCATCTCCAAAGGATGATGTGCTGGGGAGGACAGAGGGCCTTTGGGTGCATCCAGAGTCATCATGTAGGAACCCTGTCAGGTCTGGGCACTGATGAGACAGTGGAGGGTGTCCCTGCCCATGGCAGGGGCTTGGAACTGGCTGGTCTTTAAGGTCTCTTCCCACCCAAACCGGGCTGTTGTTGTCTGCATTAACTGGGGCCTGAATGTGGAGGATAAAGGAGAAAATCAGAGACCTCCATGTGAAGAGAAATGGAGACTCCTCAGTCTGGAAAAGAGAGGGCTGATGCAGATTTGCAGTGTCTCAGATGGCAGAGCATCAGCTGAGGGTGGCTCATGGTCTGCCCAGGTACAGGTGCTGGAGGACACACAGTTGAAGCTGTCAGAAGCAAATTCAGAGCACACAAAATCGGTTCCTCTGCTCTGCAAAATTGTCTGTGATTTGCAAATTGGCTTTTTTTACAGTCGAGTCAGGCATTTGCCGTGCAGGTCTTAACCCTCACAGAACATTTGTGCTTTACAAGCTGTGATTTTCAGCCCCCTTGTTGACTTACAAGCTCCGTTGGGTTTATATGATACGTCCCAGTTGATGTAATATCAGCTGAAGTGTTGGATTTTACAGCTCTGAGGGGATGCAGGTGAAGAACTGTCAGGGTGGAGCTGTGAACTGCCTGTGACAGTTTGAAGATGCCTCATAAAGACATTGAAAAATCGCCATGTCAGCTCTGTTATCTCATTTAATATTTGCTGGGTTTGGCTGGATGTGCTTTGGGCAGAGGAGAGGTGTGAAGTGGGTGATGATCCCGCAGCAGGAGCACGGTTAGGACCGGGCTGTTGGCCAGGAGACCTTGCCCTAAGAAAATGGCCAAGCTGAGGGTGTTTTAAAGAGCAGAGGAGCTCCAGCAGCTCCCCAGGCTCACGTGTATGAGTGAATTTTTGGGGGATAGCACTGCAGTCAGAGAGGGGATTTGAGCTTGGGCAGAAAGGAGGAACCCAAACCCACAAAAATCCATTTATTTGAGCTTGTTTCAGCTTTGGTGGAGATGGTTTGGGTCAGTTCCTGCTTAGTTTGAAGCACTGTGCCCAGATCCACATCTCTGCCATTCCTTAAGCAGTTGGAGGAATTCTTTTACACCGTGTTCATCACTATAATCTCCTTAATCCTCGGGATCTTTTCCTAAAAAAAAAAAGGGAAAAACCCCACCATATTTGTCATACCCTTCAGCTTTCATGGAGTTAAGCAAATAGTTTTCATCAGCCCATATTTTTCCAGATGGTTTGTGATCCTGTATCTTATCGGTACCTCCAGGACCCTGCAGATTCCAGAGGCCTGGGCTGTGCCTCAGGAAATTCCTGAATGCTCCCAAGGTTGGTTCTGGCTGTTCAGTGAGCACTGGGTGGGATTTCTGCTGCCTCAGTGGCACTGGGGTCCCTGTGGTTGAGGTCAAGGTCCCTCAGTTTCTCCACTGGTTTTATCCAGTGCTCTCCAAAAGGCCCTCCTGTTTCTCCCAAACCCCTCTGGGGAGATGGGGCTGGTGGTGATTGAAGTTGTTTTGAAAGGCTTTGGTGCAAGACGGAATTCCTGTGTCAGGTGTTGTTATTACCTGGTCTGAGGGTGGGCAGGACCTGGCACAGGGTGCCCAGAGAAGCTGTGGCTGCCCCTGGATGGCTGGAAGTGTCCCAGGCCAGGTTGGAGCACCCTGTGCTGGTGGAAGGTGTCCCTGCCCATGGCAGGGGTGGCACTGGGTGACCTTTAAGGTCCCTCCAACCCAAACCATCCCGTGGTTCTCTAATGATTCTGTGGTTATTGGTGTTCAGACCTGCCGGTGTTGGTTTTGGGAGGGGTGCAGCATCCAGGAGGGAACTGAGCCCTCCAAGTTTTACCTGGTGTGGCCCCCGTTGTCCCTGCAGGCAGCACAGGGCTCTGGAGCAACTGCAGCCCCCTCCTGCCCCAGCATTGCTGGCTCTCACCTGGACCTCCTGCAGGTCAGAGGGCTTCTGAGCCACTCTTGTTTCCCGGATGCACCGGGATGGTGGATCAGATCCATGGCCATGTGTACCCTGCCATTGGGAGGGGCTGCTTGCAGATGATTCCCAGACACAGACCTGGACGGCTGCTGGGTTTGGTTATAATGAGGGGAATGTTTTCCACTGTGGTTCTGGCTGCTTTTTAGGTAATTTGGATAAAAACACCCCCCCATTAATGCCAACAGCCCAGAGCTCTGAGTGTCCAGTGAGCTGTTGGAAGGAAGCACCTGATCCTATCTGTGTGTGGATGATGCTGAGGGGTTTGCCATCTCCAGCCTGCCCAGCCTTTTTTAGAAAGGATAGAGCCCAGGGAGACCATGGAATCGTTCCACGCTCTGTCACTGCAGCCACATTCAAACACAGTGTGCTCCAGTGAGAAGCATTAGAGCCTTTCTCCAGCAGTCACTGCTGGCTCCTCGGTGCCATTCCGGAGGAAATCCATCCAGCAAACATTTCAAGGGATTAATGACAGAATGCTGAAAGAGGAGGAGGCAGCAGGGGAAACAGGTTGCAGCGTGCTGGCCCTAAACGTGGTAGTTATTATGTTTTATGGGGTACTGGGAGGTAATGGGGACCAGATGACGGTGTGGATGGAAAGGCTCGTTGCTCCCCTGCAGTGCTCACCCTGCACCGGCCTGAGGAATTCCAGCATTCCACGAGCCCAGCGCTGATTTGGAACAGATGGGCCTCTGGTCCTTCAGTGGGATCACAGAGCATTCCCAGGGAGCGGGGCTGGGGCTGCTGGGCCACAGCAAACAGGAGCTGGCAGGGACTGCTGCAGGACTGGTGTTCCAAAGGCATCCCACCCGTGAGGGCAGGCAGTGGGAACGTGTTCTGGCACTGGGGATGGCCCTCCTGCTCCTGGGGATCCTCATCAGACCAGGAAACCCCCCCAGGAGCGTGAGGGGAACAGCTCTGGACCTGCTGCCCCCACGCAGGTGGTGACAGACCTGGGTGTGTCACATCTGCTCTGGAAGCAGCACTGGGAACAGGCTGGTCCCACATGGGCTCGACCTGGGAGACTCCTGCTGGGTGGTGGCATGAACAGGAGCACTTGGACTTTGGTGGGGCTTGGAGCAGCCTGGCAATGGAAGGTGTCCCTGCCCGTGGCAGGGGGTGGGATGAGATGAGTGGTGAAGTCTGTTGGACAGAGTTAAGGCATGCACACAAAGCTAGCAGTGGTAAAAACAGTGTAAATCAGCATTTCTTGAAGCTGGCTGCTCTAAAAATTACCCTTTTCTCCCATAAATGCATTTATTGTTTGCATACTTTGTGTGACCCAAACTGGAGAGATCAGGCAAAGGAAACTGAGGAAGCTGAAAAGCTTAAGACCAAAATTTAAAAAGTCATATCCATTTCTTATTATTTCCATGTTTGTGTGTGGGTTTGATTCTATTTAGGAAATTTATGAGCATACTTCTACTCCTATTAACAGATTTTATTTAACAGTGAAGGATTACCAATGCAAATCAAATAATGCATTGATTGTTCCCAGAACCAGTGACTCTGTACCCTCCTGGTTCAGCACAGTGTGTTGAGCTGGAATAAGCAACAATTAACAGCTCTACTGACGTTCTTCTGGTTCTGTTTTGTTCTTTTTTTTTTTTTTCCCCAGGCACAACCGCTTAGTTGTGAACTTTAAAATTGCAACATATATCCTCTTGTTTCCTGTAGGAAAAACAAGTTGTTGCTTATCCTCTTGCTAGAATTCAGAGACTTGCCAGGAGATGGGAATGTTTCTCGACCGAGGAACATTTCCTTGGGGTCTTGACCAGCCATCTGGGCATTTGGTGCCTGTGTGGGCTGGGTTTGTGTCTTGTGTTGCTGTTCACGTGTTCATGTTCTAGAATCCTTCTCCTGTGTTACTTGGACTCTCCTCCCAAGCCAAGCCAAGCCCAGCCAGGCTGAGGGAGAACTTGGCAGACAGTGACAGGACAAGGGGCAGTGTTTCACACTGCCAGAGGGCAGGGGTAGATGGGATATTGGGAAGGAATTCCTGGCTGGGAGGGTGGGCAGGCCCTGGCACAGGGTGCCCAGAGAAGCTGTGGCTGCCCCTGGATCCCTGGGAGTGTCCCAGGCCAGGCTGGAGCACCCTGGGCTGGTGGAAGGTGTCCCTGCCCATGGCACAGGTGGGACTGGATGGGCTTTCAGGTCCTTCCAACCCAAGCCATTCCACGTTCCTATGGACTCTCCCTTCACAGAGATGTTCCCAGGTGTCCCCAGCTGGTGCTGCCAGCGATGCAGGGGAGCAGGACGGGGGTGCAGCAGGTCCAGTGCCTGGGGGATGCTGAGATGAGGAGCTGCTGGATGGAGGGATGCCCAGAGCTCGTCAATAGGGATAATTCCAAGCAATTGGATAAAACAGGCCCTTGTTGTGCCTGTTTGGTGTTACCCAGACCCTGAGCTGCAGGTTTGGCTTTGCTGCTGCTGAGGTGAAGCAGAGCCATGAACTCCTCTCCTTTGCTGAGTCCAAACGAGATCTCAGCTCCTCACACAGATTTTCACCCCATAAACCCTCCTTGGCTGAGCCAGGGCAGCTCCAGCCTGGCCTCCTTTCCACCTGGGAGGGGGTCACAGGCTGGGACCCCCTTCCCTCCCCATGCAGGAGGTTCTGGAGCACTGACAGGTGCCAGGGATTGTCCTGGCCCAGGCAAAGCCATCGTATCCATCGTCCAGCTCCAGAGCTCACACCCCAAACAGCCACAAGGCAAGTCTGTCTCTGGGATTTTTCCATTCCCTTCTCCTCAGTCTCCACCTCTGTGACCTCTGGCAGTGCAGAAGTGCTGTTACACCCACAGAGCCAGGGGATGGAATAAATGGTGTTTCCATAAATCCTAATTCAGGTCAGATGGGACAGGTTACACAGGGAAACACAGACTGGCATAAAAACCCTGCTCCAAATTTGCTCTCAGGATTTAGAATTGACAGGAGTTTTTAAAGTACAAAACTGTTTCTGAAGCCTGTAAAAACGTAGCTTAAATGTAGACCAATATAATAGGCTCAATCCCCTGGGGGAAGTCAGTTCATTTTCCCTTCCTCTCTCCCTTACATGCTTCTGACCATTTCTATTAAAGAGCTGCAGATCCATCTTGGCCATAATTTGGACTTCATTGCTTTAAATCACATCAAAAGGGCCTTTAGTCAACACTGGATCAGCAGCACTCGCCAGGACGTGCCTTGTGCCGGGGGAGCAGTTGCAGAGCAAGTGTGTTCTGGTGACAGGACGCTGTGTGTTGTATCTTACTGATATCCTGCAAGTTTCCTGGGACTCAATTAATCTTTCCTTACCAGGTGAATTCAGGGTGAGCAGCTACATGTAGTGGAATTACACAGAAATTCAGGGAACTGAGTTTTCTCCACCTTCCCAGGCTGGGATTGGTTTCTTTTTACCTTTTTTTTTGCTAACTCAAGACTGCAAGTGATTTAGTTTTGTTCTTCCTACCAAAAATGTTTTGTTGTGAGTAGGCCTTTTTATGCTGAATTATTCCTGCCTTATCTCTGAAATCCATGAGGATTTGGTCCATAGTGTTTATAGAACTTGCCACGATGGACTGGGAGAAGCATGGATCACTGCTTACCTAGAACTGAGCCCATTTATGCACCTGTGTTCTAGGAAAGCCCAAAAATGTATCTTAAGCTGCACATTACACTGAGTTACAAGCAATTTGTAAATACTGCAGTGATTTTAAAAGCACCTTTTTCCTTCTCATCCCTGGAAGTGTCCAAGGCCAGGCTGGAAAGGGCTTGGAGCAACCTGGGCTGGTGGAAGGTGTCCCTGCCCATGGCAGGGGTGGCACTGGGTGAGCTTTAAGGTCCCTCCTAACTCAAACCATTCTGTGATTCCCAGTCCCACCTGGCACTGGGCACCTTCTCTTAGTTGTTACCAGAGGCTGGAGCATCCCAGGCTGGTTTTTCTCCCACCCTCACAGCCATCTGGCCTCTCTGTAGCATTTTTGGCAGATTCCAACTGCCCAGTCTTGAATTTTCTGCATTTTCAGTGACAGTCTGACCACTGATACTTTGTTCTGGCGACCCATCCCTCTGTACCTCTGGCAAACTCATTCCTCCAATGTTGTGCTTTCCTGTGAAATACTGCATTTATTTCATTCCTTTCCTGTGCTTTCACATCTTGCTCAGGTGAAAATGTTAAAACCCCAAGTGTTTCAAGCTGGTGTGTGGCTGGACAGCCAGGCTGCCCTGTGCCCTGAGCCCCCCTCGCTGCCCACTCTCCTGGTCTGCAGATCCGGGAACCGCCCCCCATCAGCCACGCTTTCTGAAAGCTCACAGCTCGTTTTTCCAGCTGGGAAATTTTCTGACAGCACTTTATTCCTGCACCGTCCCCTCACAGTGACTCACCAGGGCAGCACGAGGCTGTGAGTCAGGCCCTGCCCAGCCTGGCCCCTTTCTCGGGGCTGATTCCCCGCTGTGGGTGCTGCGGGACAGTCCTGGCTCTCTCCCTCCTTCCCACCCCATCTGCCTGGACAGTCCTGGCTCTCTCCCTCCTTCCTGCCCCATCTGCCCGGACAGTCCTGGCTCTCTCCCTCCTTCCTGCCCCATCTCCCCACGAGTGAGCTGAGGGTGCAGCTCTCTCCTGCACTGGCATCCAGGGCATCATCTAGGGATCTCCTCCTTTCCTTTTCCATGCCTCTTCCCCTTGGATAGCTGCTTGTTCCTGTTCCAAGGGGCTATAAAATGATACCACTACTGAAGTTGATAAAGGAGCCCGATTAGACTGAGTTTGGGTCCTGCTTTGGGGGTACAGCCACAGCAGGGCCCAGGAGGGACCCCCAGAGTGGAGCTGTTTGCCCACAGGCTGTGTGGCCACACGTGCCCTGGGGGTGGGCTTTGGTTTCTCTCATTTTTAATGATTTTAATGTGCTTCGTGTTTCTCCCCAGACACCGTCAGGAGCTGTGTAGCAAAGCTGTTCTTCAGCTGTGCCCTGAAGGGCCACTACTGCTTGTACAGCAAATCCAGCTTCACCCTGGTGAGCCATCAGCCTCCACTGTGGATCCACATCATGTTCCTCTTCCAGCAGGTGCGTGGGACACAAACCAGTGGCGCCTCTGGGGCGTCCCTGCTGCACTTGGAAGAAATGTTCAGTCGTTAATCTCATTGAACATGCTTCTAATTCACCTCATTTGTGACCCTTGTGATGCCTCTGAAAGTCACTCTGCTGGGCTGAAGTGATTTTGCACTTTATGAGTTTTTATATTTCTATTAATGCCCCAAGTTCAAGCTGGCTGGGGATGAAAAAGTGGGACCAAACCACATTGTCCTCATTCAGGCAAGACTTCCAGTGGGTCCCAGGTGCCTTGCAAGCGTCCAGCAGTGGATTTTCAGGGCAGCAGAACCAACCCCCGGGCTGCAGGAGGAGGCTGGAGGTGCAGAACCCACTGGGATATTTTAGAGCACAAGTTTTGATTGAGCAGGATTTGTCAGTCTGGTCAGCACTGTTCAACCTCCCCTAAAGTGATTTTCTCGTGTTTAATACTGTTTCCAAATCCAGCCCAATATCTGGACAGGTGTGGGATTTCCTAATAGGTTACAAATAGTATTAAACTGTAAGAGAAACCCCTACAATCCCACTTCAAGGTGAAACAGGTGAGGTTTGAGTTAAAATATGAGGCTCAGTTTTTTAACCTACTGTTCTTCCAGTTCATCCCACCCTAAAGCAGCCTTGGAAACACCAAGGGTTTATCCAAAGTGTAACACATCCACAGCAAGGGATGCTGTGAATTTAACAGCCCTGGGTGGCTCTGCCCTGTGTGTATTCCTAGAAATAAGCACAAAAAAATGCTTTTCAAAAACCCTGGTCAGTTAACTTGAAAAAATATCAGTGAGGACTTTTACATGGTGTTTCGAAACCCTTGGATGGAAATTGGGAAATTATTAGTGCAGGACAGCGGGATTAGGCTTGATGGGGCTGCTTAGAAAGAGGAGACAGAACGTCCATCCAGGAACCCTCCGTTCGAAGGACGTTGCTCAGATTGTGAAATCAAATAGCTGCAGTGTGGAAAATCAGATTTGTGTGTGAGCTCTCCACTTGGCTCCTCATGTAAATGCATTTTTTAACTCCAAGGTCACGTAGTAGGTACAGTGGAGGCAGAACTGTTATGTTTGTTCAGCCACAGTGTCCTCGTTCCGTGGACTTTGGGGGCAGTTTGGAACTGAAGAACTCGGTGAATTGTGAGAATTGTTGAGTTGTGAGAATAATTCCAGGTGTAGAAAGTTGTGTCCTTTGGCAGAGGGAGCTTTGGAGGGGAGAGCACCCAACCCAGCAAGGTTTCATCTTCTTCTGTGAATGTGCAGGGGCTCAAAACCCCTGTGCCCTGTGCTGAGCTCATTCACTGTCTGTCCAGTGCAGGCACAAACACTGCCCTGTTAACTCCTCCCTGCACAAGGGCCGAGAGCTGGAGGAGGTCCAAACAAACATACACAGACCTGGAGTGAAGCATCTCTTCCCACTGACTGGTAAATGCCACGTCTTCCCAAAGAGACGCACACCCCCAAAATCTCTGGTTGCTGGAGGCCAGTGCTGCTCATGTGGTGATAGATGAGCATCTCAAGGCAAAAATGACGTGCAAGTTGCGTAGTGGTGGTTGGGAGATAATCCTTGGTGAGCCACAGACCTCAAAGACATGGAACACACAATCCATTTAAAAAGCCCCAGAGGAAATGGAATATTTGAGGGTGTATCTAATTGTGTGTCTATTGATCCATCAGAACTCCTTACCCAGAGCTGAACCAGTCCCTGGGTACTCTCATGGCAAGGCCAAGGTGTTCTTTGTCAATGGGCAAGCAGAAAGTGCCTGACCTCCTGTTTTCACCATCTTTCCAGAGCTTGTTTGCAGAACCCCTGTCCATCCAGAGCAGTTCTGTGCAGGTCCTTAAGGCCCTGTGGGAGAAGACGCAGCTCAAGGGCACGCACAGTTTCGAAACTGCCATGATCCAGTCAACGTTCCCCCACCAAAAGGTAAGAGTTCATCTCCCTCCCACGGAAAAAATGGTAAAAGGACTTTGCCCTGCCTTTTGGAACAACTGTGCAAAGACCTTGACAGTAACTACAGTGAGTCCTTGCTCCACAGAGGGTGCACAGGGGGGTTTTGTGCTGTCATTTGACAGATCTCCAGGCTTGTTCTCCACCTGAACTGCTCCCAGAGCTGATGAAAACTAGGGATGCTGCCCATGGGTTTTTTTCCTGCTCACAGCTTCCAACTCGAGGTTCAGATCAGCTGCCACTGTGGGGTGTTGGGCAGCCACTGGGAAGTTCACCTGGTTAAACAGGGCCTTGGATCTTATGGAAATGATGGCCTGCACGTGTGCCATTCCTTGCCCCCCTCAGTTTCAAAGATTACTTGCTCAAAGCTGTTTACTGTCTCCGGGATTTCAGCGAGTGCTATTCCAAAGCTATTAATCAGACTTCTTGGAAAAGGCAGCTGGAGGATTGTAAAACAAATATCTATTTATTCCTGAGCGTCCCCATCCAGCTCAACGGGATGAAACGACTTGTCAAGCGTGATTTTAAAATACTCTCTCCCGGAATATTGTGGGCATGAAGATGTCTCACGGAATAAGATTAAATCATCGGGGCTGTGGCTGATTTGAAGCCAGGAGTTTTGTTAGAAACACCTTCTGAACCCCCAGGATAACGCTGTGCTGAAGTGGGAGCTCGTGCTGTGGCTGGTCAGAGGGGTGGGGGACCCCCATGACTGAGAGCAGTTTTGGGGCCAGTTTTGCTTCGACACAGTGGAGCTCGTGCTAAGCATTTTAGCTGCTGCTGAAATCCCAGCCTGACTCATCCAGAGGCATTAGGACAGCTTTGCTGCTCAGCACTGGCTTAGCTTGAGCCCCGTGCCGAGATCTGCTCGTCAACAGCCGGAGCTGGTGGAGTGTGAAGGAGCTTGGGGTGAATAAAGAGCTTAGGGAAGATTTCATGGCAGGTTCGTGGGCAGATTGGATGTGGTGCACCAGACACACAGAGTCTACAAAACACATCCAGCACCCTGGAAACGGGATTAGTCTCCAGCACGTGGTTGCATAACCCTGTTAGTGCTCAGATACAAGTGTCTGGCCTATTTTGGGAACTTTCATCACCCCACGACAGCCAGAGTATCTCTGAGTTCCCAAAATAGCAGAGCTGGGAAATGAGATCCCGATCTTCGCGGGTTGAATCGGGGTTGGGGAGCTCCGGAGCTCGGATTGGCCACCAGCCTTTGGGACAGCCGGGCAGATGGAACACATCTGCCTCGGGGAGAGGCTCAGGGAGCTCACTCTGGGGCTCCACAGTTTGCTGCTGGATTTGCTTTCTGCTTTGCTTTAGTTTGTTGACACAGAACCCGAGTTTGTTTTGGGTTGGTTTGTTGATAAGAATCCGAGTTTGTTTCTAGTGCAATTCCCATTCAGCTTTTTGAGAGAAGTGCATTGCCAGAGTTTCCTGGGGATGAGGTCTAGGATTGCCATAAAGAAGGTCTTCTTTGGCTTTTACATTCCCAAAAAATCTGCCTGGGAAATTCCTGTCATGGCCTAGTCCTTAACTCCGCTTGACAAGCTCAGCTTCTGCCTTAATCTGAGTTTGTCATTTGCAGAAGTTCTTCCCATTTGTAACAGCACTTCAAATACTGTGAATTATCTGACTAAATTATTGTAGTTGTTAATGCCAGTAGTTCAGGAAGCGAAATGCTGGGGGGGTGGCTGCTTGGTTAAGTGCAGCACTTTTAATTGGAAATGTTTTGGAATCTGACGATGCCGATGCGGCATCAACCCTGCCTGGTATGTTTGATATTAAGTTTTATGCATTGTGTTATGGGAATTTGAGCAACCTGGTCTATGGAAGGTTGGACTGGATGGTCTGTAAGGTCCCTTCCAACCCAAGCTGTTCTGTGATGATGATGAGTTTCTGTGAGCAGGTGAGGAAGGTTTGACCCCCAGCACTCAGCAGGAATGACGGTGCTGCAGCACTGCTCTGCCATCACTCCACGTTTTGCCCTCTGCTCCTGTGTCTAACCCAGAACATATTAATTTACTCTTTTTCCCAGTGTGGACTCTAAAGCATTTTTCAAACCTGGAGAAAAATCCATTACATCAGTGCCTTATTCCAGACTAAATTCTGAGAAATGTTTTCAGATTTTCATCACCGTCCGCGACTCCTGAGGCCGGCCCGGGACTGCAGCGAGTACCTGGCTCGCACAGAGCACGCTGTGTTTCACTGGGCAGCCTCCTCGTGCCACAGAGAAATATTTATCCAACAGGGCTTAAGATGTGCCAGAAGCAAAGCACTTCCAGATGTGCATGCTCCCAGATTTCCGTTCGGTTGCCTCTCCCAGCTTTCTCTGAGGCCGCGGGTGCCGCTCGGGGCTGGCTCTTTGTGCTGCCTCAGGCGGGGCAGAGCAGGGACGTGGGGATGTTTTACGAGCCCCTTGTGATGCCCCCAGAGAGCCTTTTTTGCTGCTCAGCCTTGCGAGAGCAGAGCTCACATTTCTGAGCCCTCGCTCGCTCTGTCCCTCCCTTCGCCCTTCGCCGGCTCGGGACAAGCTGCACGTTTGCACAAGGGAGTCACTCAAGCTTCCAAGATTACGGGGCGTGGGGGGAGATAAATCTCTCCTCTCCAATGAAGCTTTCCCCCCATGCTTCCCCTCCTGAAAGAAGTGGCTTTTTGCAGGTTATTCCAAGCGTACTCGAGTACAGAGGGGAAGAGCCAGATTGGTGCCCTGATATTTCCGTGGCATTTGCTCTCTTTCAGGTCACAGCTGGCTCAGAGCAACCACTGTCAGATTTTTTCCTGGGATGGGGAAGCTCCCAGGCTTTCTGCCCAGCCTGTCCCCCTGTCCTAGGATGTCCTGCACAGACCCATGGAGGGCAGTGCCATCGTTCTGCCCAGCTGTGCCCTCCAAGGTGCCACAGCGGGAGGTTGGGGCACATCAGGGGTAGGACAAGCCACTGACCGTGCCCTGCTCCCTCTGCTGTGCTAGAGTTTGTCCACAAAGGCTGGAATGGGACAACTGCATCCCCTGCACAGCCTTGCTCAGTGGGATGGACTAACAGCCCTGGCAAGGGATGGTGTTTTCCCCACTGGCTGCATAAATCCATGTTTTCCTTGGGCTGCAGCTTGGGGTGTTGCAGACCTGTGGAGACCCTGCACAAACAGACAGGAGGGTTTTCTGGGCAGTGCTGGCAATGCCCTTTGTGTTTGCAGTGAGTAACTTGGCTGGTGTTGTTTAACACCAGCGTTTGTTTAGGTGTGAGATCAGAATTGGTTTCCAAATGAAGTAACGGGGTTTAAAATACACTGAATTATACAGTGTTATTAATGACCTCAAAATGAGTATCCTCTGGCTTTTCCCATGCTAACAGGTGGAAGACGACATTCTGTAGGTTCCTTTGAGCAAGCCAGATGTTCACTTCACTTTGGGGATTCACGGTCCTGCTTCCCTGGCTTGTCACCCTTGTTCTGATGGGGGATCCAGAGGGACAGGAGGGAGTGCCCAGCACTGCATTGTGTCAGCAGAGGCCACAACTTTCTGGAGCATTGAAAAAACCCTGGGGATAAGAGAAACATGGAATTGTTTAGGTTGGAAAAGCCCTCTCAGACCATCAAATCCAACCGTTCCCAGCACTGCCAAGGCCACCTCTGACCCATGTGCCACATCCACAGGACTGTTAAATCCCTCCAGGAATGGGGATCCACCCCTGCCCTGGGCAGCTGTGCCAGGGCTGGACAGCCCTTTTGGTGAAGAAATTTGTCTTTATATCCAACTTAAACCTCCCATTGTACAACTGGAGGCCGTTCCCTCTCCTCCTGTCCCTGTTCCCTGGGAGCAGAGCCCGACCCCCCCCAGCTCCCCCCTCCTGTCAGGGATTGCAGAGCCAGGAGGTCCCCCCTGAGCCTCCTTTTCTCCAGGCTGAGCCCCCCCAGCTCCCTCAGCTGCTCCTCATCACACCTGTGCTCCAAGGCTGGAACGTGCCGGGCCGAGCGCTGCTGAGGAGGTAAAAGAGATCCCAATCTCTGCTTCCACAGACTAATCTGTCATTTATACATCAACTGCTGCTGATGGTGGGGAGAGAGGCATGTCCTGCTGAGCACACTGGCCCTGGCAGGTTGTCCATCCCCAGGAGACACGGGAAGGACCCTCTCTGGACTCTCTGGGCTCTGGGGTTACGAGCTGTTGACTGGCAGTGTTTCACCTGGTCAGTGAGTTTGGTTTCTCTCATTCTTGGCCCAGGACCTGGACCACGTGCAGATGCACCTGGAAGAAGTGAGGTTCTTTGACTTGTTTGGCTACAGCGAGGAGGCAGGAGCCTGGCAGTGCTTCATGTGCAACAACCCCGAGAAGGCAACAGGTACGTGGGCAGGTCCAGCCCCTGCCAGCGGTGTGGGGGGTGTGCTGAGGGTGGAGGATGGAGGGAGTGAAGCTCACAGGTCCTGCTGCATCTCTGGTGGTGGTGGCAGGTGTTTTTTGCCAGCAATGACTCTCTTTGTCTCAGTTTAAAGACAACTTTGTAAGAAAGGCACGTTGTGACTATCATGATTTGCTTCTCTGCTCCAAAAGCCTTTAGAAGACCAAGGTAATTAAGTCTTGAATGGGCCATGGGAAAGCTCAGGAAAGGAACGTGGAAAGTAGAGCTCAGAGGAATAAAATCTGCAGGGAATGGCAAATTCACCTCTGTGTTGGTGATGGGGAGCTGTGGCAGCTGGGAAGAGTCCAGAGAGGGACCCTCTGGGGTCTCTCTGGGTTTATAAGATCTGGCACAAGAGAGAAGATTTTAAGGTCTCCTTGGCTTGGTGAGGAATGTGAAGGCTGTGAAACATCTTTTGTTTTCATTCCAGAGTGGGACAGACACTTTGAAACCCCAAATACTTTTGAAAGACAAGGCAGTAATTTCTCCCTCTCAGCAATGCAGTTTAGCAACCGAATTCTTGCTGGAGAAGGAATTCAGAGGCAAATTCTTTTTCTATTATTGTCTTCTGGTTTTCTGCTCATGTGGGGGGTTGTTGCATTTTTTTGGATGCCGTGTTGCAAGATGTCTTTTATTCTCCAGACTTGGGCAAGCATTTTGTCCTAAAGCCTTGACCTTGGGATGCCCAGGGAAGCTGTGGCTGCCCCAGCCCTGGAAGTGTCCAAGGCCAGGTGGGACAGGGCTTGGAGCAACCTGGGATAGGTTGCTCAATGATTTTTGGGGGGATTTTTGGAGCTGGACTACACTTGGAGGCTGATCCTGTGTGGAAAGAGCCAGTTATGCTTCAGCAAGTGGTGGATGAACCCACAGTGGCAACGAACCCAGAGAAAGTTGGAGTGTTTCTTGTGCATTCCTCTGGTTGCAAAGCATGTCTTGTACAACCACACACTTCCAGAGGTGCTGGTAAATCATCCCAGTTTGGTTTTCCCTGCCACTGAGGGGGGAGCATTCCCACAAATCCTCCTCAAACACAGTCCTTGCCCTGGTGTCAGGGGCAGGAAAAGCAGCCTACACTCTTATTTGCTTCAATTATGGCCATTCAAGCACAGTCATTGGAATGCTGGCATTGGAATGCTGGCAAACTGAGAATTCCCTCCTTAGGAAGAGCTGGTTGTTGGGAGCCTCATTTCAGCACAGCCCCCTGTTGACAGCTGGCTTCAGGAGCTCCGGCACAAAACAATTCAGGAAAACCACTGGATGGGCAGTGAGGGAGCTGCAGCACATTCCCTGCTCTGGAATCCTGGGAAGCTGTGGCAGCAATTCCTGGGGGCTGCACCTCCTGCTCGTGGGCAGCGATTTGGGGGAAACCGTGAGGGGCTTTTGGTGAATTCCTCTGGAAAACAGCAATTCCCTGGGAATTGCGTTTGGTACCATGCTCTCTCCAGGGTGATGATTAATGGAAGAGGGAATCCATCCTCCCGGGGGTTAATTGCATTTCTCTGCCACACATTCCATTCTTTCAAGTTTATTATGGCTGAGATCATCCGTGGATTCTTGCGGAGGATTTTATGTTTCAGCAAACGCAAGATTTAATGCTTTGGGGTTTATCTGTCTCGTCTTGGAAGAGTTTGGAGGGGTTTTTCTTGCTTTTTTATTCAGCACCCAAGCTGCTTAAAGCTGGATGTGCTGAAGTTGTGCAAAGAAAGCAAGGCAGAACAGAGGAAATAATTCCAGCAGACACACCAACAGGAACTGTTCAGGGTTAAATTGGAGTTGGTGTCTCTACGTTAAGATGCTTTAGGAAGTGGATATTTCAGGACCTTTAGATATTTCATGACCTTCTCGAACTGAAAAAGGAGAAATTTAGATGGGATATTGGGAAGAAATGGTGAGGCTCTGGGGCACAGTCCCTTCCCACTCAAACCAGTCTGTTATTCTATATTATAGTAAATAATTTTTTATTTGACTTTGGGTAATAGTTTTTGCCTCATTATGTGTTCTGAAGGGGTAAAAAAAAAAGCAATCATAACTATAAAGCAAGTATAAGCTTTGGAACCTTTAATTTCTTTTTCCAAGCTGAAGGTCCCACGGTCCATGTCAAGGTACCACCACAGAGAGTGATTTCAAACCCAGCCCAGGGACCACCTAGGCTGCCCTAAACAACAAGGAACCCTGTCCAATAATGCTGCTATCAAAGAAATGTTTCTCTTTGATCTCTATCTTTTGGCATGTTTTTCTAGAGATGCCTAAACCTGATTTTTAGAAGTCAAGTGAAGGAGAACCCCTGACATGCCTAGGCTGTTGCTCAGGTGATTTAACCACATGTTAGACTAGAAATAACCCCACATTTTATCTGTAACCACTGCACCACTCTATGCCCTTCCCTGCTCTGCAGAAAATCTTTATTTGTAGAATTTCTTGTGTCACATCTTGGTCTTTGCTTGGGCAAATTAAGGAGAATACACTTTATTTGTTTCCCATGATATGAATAATCCTATGGAATGTCAGTCTTAAATCACTCTTCAGTCCCTTTTCTGAAGGACTTTCCTGTTGTCCTTGTTCAGGCAAGAGGCATCAATTGGAACAGCAGAGGTTCAGACTTCCCCCAAGATTAAACTTTCCCACCATGAGGGTGACCAAGCACTGGAACAGCTTGCCTGGAGATGTTGTTGAGATTTATCAAGTCCAGGATGGATAAATCCATGGGCAGCCCAGTGTGACCCCAGAGGGGACCTTGCTTGGAGCAGGGGGTTGGGGGAGAGACCCCCTGAGCTCCCCTCCAGCTGGATTATCCTGTGGTTCTGGGAAGCCAACCACAAGGAAAATAAGCAGAAGGGCTTAGAAAAATATTGGAAAAGAGCTTCATTCTTATCTTTCATGAATCTTTCTCTTCTAATCAGCCCCTCAGACACGCTGGCATCAGCTTCATTACGACCACTGACATCAGAATTCCCCACGGGCTTCTCTGTGGATGCACAGGAGAAGAGCTTTGTTAGCACTGCCTGAAGTCCTTAAAGAGAGATCAGCATTTCTGGGTTTGAAGGATTTTGGCCATAAGAATTCACTTTAGGCCAAAACTGCACATTCACCTCCTTTCTCATGTTGTGCTCCTGACCACAAACTATCTCAGCATCTTCTGGTCCCTGAACCTCTCATGCTTTGCACCTTCTTAGTTTGGGTTAGGGCACGTCCCTGCTGCACTGGAACCAGATGGAAGGTGTTGCTGTGGGACCAGGAGCCAGGTAGAGAACAATATTTAACACAATTGCAGCTTTTATTGAAGGGGACACTGTAAAAGGTGGCTCTGCCCCACTGACGAGCGTGTGGTGAGAGGGGGCAGCCCCAAACCAGCTCCCTGCTAAATCTGGGCCATTTTGCAGTGACAAAAGTTGTGCAGAGAGAAAACAACCCTCTGCTTTACCTTCTCCTGTGGTGTGACCCAACACACCAGCACTGGCATGAAAATATACGGAGAAGAGCTGTGGAGCTGCGTGGAGCAGAGCACGACCTGGTTCTGGGGTGGAAGCCCCAGCTGCAGCTCCCCACCGGCACTGGGGCTTTGCCAACCCCCTTTTCATTCATCCCTCTCCTTCCCAAATGCTCCCCATCCACGGAGACAGAAATATTTACGGTCTTTCCTGAGGAAATTGCTCCGGTCCCCCCTGCAGCCCCCCTGCCAACATAAACAACAGCAGGGAGAGGACACGGCCCTGATCTGCATTTGACGTGTTGTGGGGGTCTTTGATTTCCCTCTTCCAGGCAGGAGGGAGGTGCCCAAAAAGCCATAAAAGCCCAGGGTGGCTGCACTTGGCCACCCCACTCACCTCCACCCTCACTGAGCCCTCGGGCTCTGGGAGCCTCGTGCCCAGATGACAACCAGCACTTTCAAGGAAAAGTGTTGCTGGACAAACTGGGGCTGAGGGGTGGGAGAACAGCCAGGGGACAACTGCCCGTCTGACAGATGCTGGGATGGGCTCCAAGTCAAACAGCCCATCAAAAAACATCCGTTCTCAGTCTGCCTGTGCCTTGGGCTGCCCCCCAGTCTGGCTGATCCTCCCTGTCCTGGCTATCGGTGTGAAAATAGAAGAGAAAGGGAAAAGAAACCCAGAGGAGATATTGTGGTGATGGCTTCAAGCTGCCAGAGGGCAGGGATAGATGGGATACTGGGGAGAAATTCCCCCTGGGAGGGTGGGCAGGCCCTGGCACAGGGTGCCCAGAGAAGCTGTGGCTGCCCCAGCCCTGGGAGTGTCCAAGGCCAGGTTGGAGCAACCTGGGCTGGTGGAAGGGGATGGCACTGGATGAATGCTGGAGGTTGGGAAGATGAGGAAAGCAAAGCAACCTTCCTGCAGCACAGTATGGGCCTGGATTTTGGCTGGGAGAAAGGGAGGGCAGAACTGACCCCTGGCTGTTGTGTTCACCTCCCCAGTGGTGAACCAGGATGGCCAACCCCTGATCGAAGGGAAGCTGAAGGAGAAGCAGGTCCGGTGGAAGTTCATCAAGAGGTGGAAAACTCGCTACTTCACCCTGGCTGGCAACAAGCTGCTGTTCCGGAAGGGAAAGTCCGTGAGTCAGAGACCACCCCTCCCTTCGATCCCTCCCTTTCCCTGCTCCCCAGCACCATTTCCAGAGGGTTTCGCTGCTCACTTTGCCTGTGGTACTTCTGCCGCTTGCAGAGCGTGTGGCAGGGACAGCCGGGGAGTGGAGCAGGGACAGCCGGGGATGGAGCAGGGACAGCCGGGGATGGAACAGGGACAGCCGGGGATGGAGCAGGGACAGCCGGGGATGGAGCAGGGACAGCCGAGGGTGGAACAGCCACAGCCAACGCCCCACACGGGAGCTGCTGCCGGGGGGTCCCCAGTTTTCAGGGAACACTCTCCAGTAGCCCAGGTTGCTCCAAGCCTGGGACACTTGCAAGGGGTGCCAGACGTGCACTGAGGTGGCTCAGCCCCCGATAACCGGGCTGTCCCCGCTGCGTTGCAGAAGGACGACCCCGACGAGAGCCCCATCGAGCTGAGCAAGGTGCAGAGCGTCAGGGTGGTGGCGAGGAAGCGGCGGGACCGCAGCCTGCCCCGGGCCTTCGAGATCTTCACGGCGGGCAGGACGTACGTGCTGAAGGCGCAGGACGAGCGCAAGGCCGAGCAGTGGCTGCAGTGCCTCAGCGTGGCCGTGGCCCGGGCGCGCCAGGGAGACAGCCACGAGGCCACCACCTACCTGTAGCCCTGTGCCACCAAACCTGGGACAGGGACAGCACTCCCTCAGCCCCCAGGCCCAGCTCCTGCGCCTCGGGAACCCCGGGGGCAGACCTGGTTTGCCGGAGGTGCCAGCACCAGGTGAGTGGGGCCCGCCCGCCCCGGCACCGGGACATCGGTGGTGTGAAGGAGGAACTTCCACGTTCTCGTGGGAAATCCAGCTTTTTAGCTCAGCCCAACGTCCTGAAATGCAGGGAATGTGGCTGGGAACCCCCTGGACCCCAACCCCTCAGCCTGTGAGCGGGTGTCGGTGGCTGCCGACGCTGCCGAGAGCGTTCCAGGCCCAAGGGCCTTCTGCTTTCCTCCGTCGCTTGGATGTGAAAAGTTAATTTTCCTCATTATTTAACCTCAGTGGACTTCACCCTTTTGCTGTTTATATGTGCCTGTGCTGCTTCTTTCAGGTTTAAGCTGGGCAAATCTGAAAGATTTCACACGGATGGGAAATGATTTTAAATATTTAACTGTTTTGATTTGCCCTCTTTCTTTTGCTGCTTTTGCTCCCCTTTGCAACTGAATGCAATTTTTGAATTCTATTTTCTTTTTTTTTATTAATTTTAAATTGTCTTCTCTGACTGTAACTTTTCAAAATCTCTCCAAACCTGAAAAATTCCCAGTTTGCTTGATTTTCGTTGTTGCTTTCACATGATTCCAAAGTGGAGGAAGTACTGTAGGAGAGACTGAAAGGAAAAGCGGGGGGGGGGAAGGAATGAGAAGTCTGCAAGTGAAGAAATTAACTCAGAGATCAGTCAAGGCTGAGTAGAAATAAAATTTGAAATTTTCCAACCTAGAAAAATGTATATTTTGTTAAAAAAAACTGTTGCCAAAAAGGTGGGAAAATCAGGAAAAAATACTTTTTGCTCTAACGTGTACCTCGCACTCTCTGGCACATGAGGAAAGGAGATTTCAGCCATTTCATTTTCAATACCTGCACCAATAAATCCTTCCTTTGCCCACAGGACACACCACTGGGTCTGAGGGGAATGAAGTTAATTTCTAGGTGTGAGCTCAGGAGTTTATGGTCCTGAATTCCAAAATTATATCCCCAGTTCGCCCACTGCGGCGTGAGTTCAGTGAGGCGGGAGGTGGGCCACTGAAAACAAGCCTAACAGACAAAATAGTCTGCATTTCTCAACCTCCATGCCAAGATCCAGTCTGGCAGCGAGCAGTGATGCCATCAGTGTCATGGCATCATCAGTGCAACACTCCTCGTGTGGGAGGCACGCAGGGCTCTGTTCCACCTGCTGTCCCCAGCTTTGTCACCAGCACCTTTGTCTCCAGCCCTCACATCCCGCCTCCCAGTCCCAACGGGATGGGAACAATATGGGATGTGAAGCTCTGGAGTCAGAGAGAGCCCCGGGTCCTGTGCCAAACAACCATTCCCTCCAGTAAGAGGCTCAGCCACACTTCTCCTGACTTAAATTAAAACTTGGAGGAAAATGAAAGAGAAATTCAGCTGGTAACTTATTCTAGTCATGCTCCTGAAAGGAGAAACACAGGGATCATCAGTCTGGTGTAGGATGAGAGCAGGGAACTTCTCAAGCAAATATATAAATAGTTTTTACTGGTTCTTTTTAAAACAACATGTACAGAAAGGTTTTGGATTTAAATCTCTGCCACCCTCTGAGCAGGGAAGGTGTTGGTGGCTCTGGCTGTGCTGAATTCCCTTGGCTGGTTTGCTCATCCTTGCAGATGGCAATGTGGGAGCTCCTGGTGGGCTCAGCAGAGGGTCCTTGGGCTCCTCTTGGAAAAAGGGATGGATGCAAACGCCCTCCTTGGCCCCAGCACCAGGACTCTGCTGAGCATCTGCTCCTCCCTGCCAGGAACAGCCTCTGCCTTGCACAACTTTCAGCACAAAAGGTGTCATTGTCTCTCTCTGGGGGTGCGAGTTCCCCTTCCCTGGGCAATCCTGTTCTTCAGCAGGGCTGGTGATGGGGAGAGGGATTAATCCCAGCCCTGTGCCCCTGGTGTGTCCCCCAGGGGCAGCAGCAGTGCCACTTCCAGGGGGTCTGTGGGAGCAGGTGAGCTCTGGGGGGTCCTGGCTGTGATCCTGGGGCTCAGCCAGCCTGTCCCCCATCACAGTGGGGCATCACCTCCCTGCCAACAGGGGCTCATCCCCTCTACAAACTGGGGGCACAGACCAAGGCTTAGGGTCTAAACCTGAGCCAGCAGCTGGAAAACCGGACCTGAATCCAGACCTGAACACTCCAGAATGGGCCCAATCTCCAAACCCTCTGAGTTTTACAGATCAGCATCACTTCTCCAGGAAACAAATCCTTCAACATATTATCTCCCACTTACGTGATCCTACTGATGTGAGGACAACGAGCCACACTTTCCTGGAAGAGCTGACATCCACCATGATTTTCTGCACCACATCACACGGATCTTCCTGGAATCCCAGCCTGGGTGAGTGTGTGGCCTCACACTGCACTCAGGGACAACTGGAGCTCGGGCACCGCTTCCTCGCCCGCCCGATGCTGGGAGGACAGAGGGGGTGGCGGGCTGGCTCTGGCACTGAGGGGCTGGCTCTGGCACCGAGGAGCTGGCTCTGGCACTGAGGAGCTGGCTCTGGCACTGAGGAGCTGGCTCTGGCACTGAGGGGCTGGCTCTGGCACTGAGGGGCTGGCTCTGGCACTGAGGAGCTGGCTCACACCTCGGACCCCTGAGCTGCTCCCATCACACAGCACCTCTGCAGGGAGGACGGGAGCTGACCCAGCCTGGGAGCCGCTCTCCCACTGGCAGGGTGGGAGCACTGGTGGGACAGGGGAGGCTTCCAGCTGTGTGCAGTCCACAGGGGAGCCCCTGGAACATGAAGAACAAAATAGTTCCATGGTGAAAGGTTTGTAGGATAAACAGGAAGATGAGTGATATTTAGCCAGGCAAATGATATGTAATCATTGATTTCTCTAACAAATTTAACTACTTCATGTAATTCTTTGTTGCTCACAAGCAAATCCTTTTTTTTTTTTTAAATATTCTATTTTGTTCTATTATTCCCTGAGAAGTTCTTGTGTTCCTTCTGGTTAAGTGTTTCCAAATGGCTCTTTTACGACCCCTTCACACCTGGGCCCTGCTGGTCACATTATCTGCCCAGACAGATATTCCTGTGCCCAGGTGGGAAGGCAGGATCACCATTCCTGAGTCAGGTGGAAAACAGAAGTGTTCACCCACAAACCTCCTCATTAAACTGCTGTTTCCTCCTCGGTGCTAAACTGCGCTCGAAAATCCAAATTAATTTCTGTTGACAGTTTTGCTGGTTTACCAAGCCCCGAGCGGGCCACATCCTGAAAGCCAAGGCAGGATTTCCAGAGCCTGGAAATGTGTGTGTGTGTGTGGGGCTGGCCAGGCGTGACTCTCAGAGCCCTGCGCGCTTCCACGGGGCTCCCACTGACGGGATTTCCTAGAAATGTGAGCCACATTGCACCGCCACTGCCTGCCCAGGGCTGAGCCCAGCCCTGAGCCCAGCCCTGGGAAGTGTTCCAAGGAAATATTACCCTGCAGTTCCCTCCTCCTCTCCTCTCCCGTGTTGGACGGCACGGGGTAAGGCGGGCGATGAACGCTCAGGTGTTGCCTGCAGGCACCACACGCACTGTGGGGACAAATGGAAGAAGCTGGACTTTATTTTTCCAGCTTTTCCAGCTCCAAGCCCAGCAGCCCACGGGAATAACCTTGCCTGCCTGTTGTTGACAAGTCATCTAATTCATCTTGGTGCTGGTGACTAATATTCCTTGGGTAAAATCCTTGACCTCGCTGAGGTCAAGTGCAAAACTCCTGTTAACTCCACCAGGGCCAGGATTTTACTGGGATCCCTTCCTGTGCTGGTGGCACCTTTACAGCTTCCCACACTCACCAGGCTTGGGCACCTGCAGGAGCACCATCCCTCCCCTCCCCACTGACAGCACTCAGGCACCTGCCTTGCAGGGAGGAGTATTTGGGTGAGAAAAGCTCCTTCTCTCACTCTGAGCAGCATCAAGGATCATCTGTGCCTCCAGCAACCTGCACTGTGCCCATCCTGTGGGGAGTGACCACCCTGCTCCTCGTGCCCTGGGGCAGGGACAGTTCTCCAGCAGCTTTTCGTGCTGGAATCGCAGGAGGAAACAAGCAATGGGGTTTAGTTGGGATTTTTTTCCCATAGAAACATAGAAACTGCCTGCAGCAGTCAGGAAGCACTTCTACTGCACCTGTGTAGGAACAGACAGTGATTAATTGGATGTCAAATTACAGCTCCATTGAGTTGGCTCAGTTGTACCATAAATCTCCCCGTTGTCTAATTAGGCAAAGAAAGAAGCAAAAATCAGACCTGATCCACGTGAGCGTTTCACTGAAGTGAGCTGGAGCTCTCACAGCAGTTTGTGTTGGGCTTGGTTGTGTCAGGACATGGATGTCCCTGGCCAGCCCCCCCTGGGACCCCAGTGCCCCATCCAGGGCCTCCCTCCCGCTCACTGATGCCGTAGGAGCCGGTCCCGGTCCTGCCCCACCAGGGGATCCCCCCGGACCAGGCAGCCCTGAAAGGTCTCACACAGCCTCAGGAGACCAGAAGATTTAGGTTTGTTTGCTCCTACAAATGGGGACAATATAAATTGTAAGATAAATGTTGTGTCCATCTTCTGTGGATATAAACTCCCCATCCCTGGAAATGTTCAGGGCCAGGCTGGACAGGCCTTGGAGCAACATGGGATAGTGGAAGGTGTCCCTGCCATGGAACGAGATGGTCTTTGGGTCCCTTCCAACCCCAAATGTTTTATGATTCTGTGATAATCCTGTCCATCTAATTAACTGCAATTTTTTAGGACAAACTGAAATCCCTTGGCTTTGTCAGGACAAAAGTACTAATATGTTTAAGCAACAGTTATTGTTTAAGAGCCAAGTTTTGCCCCCTGGTCTCTGCCCCTGCCCTTCCCTTCTGGCTCCTCCTCAGCAGGAAAATCACCCTGGTTTCAGTGCACAGAGCGTGGATAAAGATCATTA